TACGGCACACTTTTTATTAATATGGTAAGGTGAGGCTTAAGACTAAGAATAGACTGCATAACAAAAGACTGAGCCTTTCTTATGGAAAGGTACGGTTTGTGACAACGCCTAGCCTACATAACAAAAGTGTGAAAAAAGAAAAAACTACACCTGGTAAAACAAGACTGGCTGTCTATCAATAACCTGTAATAGTTGTCTGTCAAATAAGATGGTCCAATAAGTGATCGTGTCCGCGAGCACAAGTCGGATCTGAAACACGGCAGAACTGATTCTTCGGCCGTTGCCGATCATTGCTACAACTCTGTGGGCTCTCATGAAATTGTCTTTTCCGAGACCAAGGTGCTCTGCAAACCTCCTGGTTACCATCAAAGGTTTGTACACGAAGCCATACAAATATACAAACACAGACATAATTTCAACCGTGATGATGGTTACAAATTGAGTAATCATTGGAAAGATGTGATTAACCATGCAAAATGATTTAACCACTTATTTGGACCATCTTATTTGACAGACAACTATTACAGGTTATTGATAGACAGCCAGTCTTGTTTTACCAGGTTTAGTTTTTTTTCACACTTTTGTTATGTAGGCTAGGCGTAGTCACAAACAGTACTTCTCCATAACAAAGGCTCAGTCTTTTGTTATGCGGTCTATTCTTAGTCTTAAGCCTCACCTTACCATATTAATAAAAAGTGTACCGTACTTGGCCCTTCCCCTCTTCAACCATTATATATACGAAGTGGTAGCTCTTGTAATCTCTCATTTGATACAGCTGTCGTGGCTGTGACGGTTCCACCTGAAGACGGAAGCTTGTGTTGCCTCCGAAACGTCGTGATTTTTATTTTATTTTACTTTTATTAATTGTAATTTTTTACCTACGTGACTTTACCGAAAAAACCTAAGAATATGAATATCTGTCCTGAATGTTACCAGTGGACTGCAACTCGGTTTGACTGCAACGTGGCATCCAAGACTAAGAGTACACTCTGCTGCTTCCTGCACTATAAACAGGACAGTCAGGGGTGTATAGCAATCTGGCACTGCAGCATAGCTGAGTGACAGCGCTAAACTGAGGCAAACACACCGCTAACAGCTCGTGCATTACTCAGAGACAAACACCAACAAGCAAAGCTGTCATAAAGGTGGAATTTATTTTCCCCAAGGTTTTTCAGTCGGGGTCACCCTTGTTGGAGGCCCGTGGGGTTGACATGTGCTCGTGTGACATTTTGCAGACTATTGGGGAAAGTACTGAAAGCGTGCACTGGTAAAATTACCTGTAAATTACTCAATTGGGATGACATCAATAATGTATCAAACTAATGCCCGCTTGTGCAGGCTGGTAAATATACCTTGTACCGCATAGGGACAGCTGCGACTGGGAAGTTCCCTTTGAATGGTTGGGATTTTATATAGGGCAGTTTTTAATGCAGAGGGATTTGCACAAATTACACAATTTGAGTATAATTTGATATTTTTATTTTTTTAATTTCTGTAAATGTTAACATGTAATGACGAGGCACATAGCTTTGCATCAATTTGATTTAAAAAAATGCTTTCATGATACACGCATCAAATCACGAGTTGAAGGACTTTAGGCAACATACAACGCTGTAATTGTTCAACAAACCCTGTAGCTCTATCAAATTGCAAGGACTACATAGTGGCGTGTACGAAAAAGATTCTCGTCACGACCCTCGGTGAATTCTTGCCCAAATGAACATCTAAGCAGTAATAAAAAAACTAAGAATAGGTTTTACCCTTTCTGGCAATAAAAAGGTATTAAGATATTCAAACACAAAATAGATACCTTTTGCATGGAACCAAGTCTGCATTAACCACACGTACTTGTGGTGAACATGCAAACAAAACATGCTCTGATAATACAGAGTGTTTCAAAAAATGTGAACACTTAAGAGAATTTGCAATAATACTACAATAAATGTGCCTCCGGGCTCTGGAGACCATCTGGAGAAGATTCCAGGCCACGTGTTGATAACGATAGCGAAGAAGTGGAGACTGACTTTTTGAAGATATTAACATACTTTTGTTATATTAGTGTATTATCCGTTATTTTTCAATTTAAAACGATAGTGCATTTCCGTTTTAACATTTTTTAAGCACCCTGTATATGTATTAGCTTTGAAATGGATTGACCTACACCAGAAACAGCCTTCTTTATTGACTAGTCTCACCAGTGTCAGACGAGAGAACGCCAAACTGAACAGTACAAAGCCAATGCACATAGAGCATGTATTCGCTGCGTGTTAGCAGCAATATCATGGGGACTTTTTTTTTCAAGTATCTTGAAGTGTAATGACCGAAAAATGACCTCAGGCCAATAAGCAGCCTAAAGGCTATTTGAAAATAAACAAACGTCTCCGATTGGAAGGAAGGCATCCATGGTGATTGGTCGGAAGGCAGACTTAAAGGGATTTGAGGAATAAGGGTTGAATGGGAAAACAAAGGATCTGTTAGAGGGGGAGGATAGGGATTGGCTAAAGGTAAAACACAAGGACAAAAAGGTTGGAGAAAGGGGGCTGAGGAATATATAAAGTGGAGAGCATGAGGAGTGGGGACGTTCGGAGGAAGATACAAGCTAAAGCATAGGGTCCCTTATTGTGGAAGTATGTAAATGTAGTGAGTCCAACTGAGTCGCAGACGTTATCTTGGAAGCAATACTATTTATTACGTCACTCTAACACATCACACAATCTACACTCGGGTTTCGAATGCCCATCAAGCCACGCTGCGGCAGAATTAGACACGGTTCGCTATCCCGGCCCGGACCACAAGCTGGGTCCTGGACCGCGTGGCTCGAGGCTTCTTCTCCCTGACGTGGATTTTCTTCACACCAGCACACGAAGAACCCCGAGCTCCTCACGGGCCCCGTTATATCCCTCTGGGCTGGCTCCGCCCTTCGCCCGGCTCACCTTCCAGATCTCTCGAGCTCTTTCTCGAAGGCTCCTGAGAGCTCTTTTAGACCACGTGACCGCCCAGCGGCCCACGTCCACCATGGCCCCCTCCAATATCTGGTCACGTGTCAGCAGGTCAACCAGCGTATCATGCCCCAACGTAGCCCTGGCTGGCTGATGCTCCCTCTTGCTCCCTCGCCGGGAGCCCACACTGCTCACGGTGCCTCCGTGCTGACCAGCGCTCATCCAAGCCCCGCTCGGGCTGGTGGTACTACGCCCCGTAAGCAGGCTATACATGTCAGCACATTATTAGCCCTGGCTTCATAAGCCCGGCACCACACAGTGACAATCAGCCACTACATAAATAAAAGTGACTCTTCTTCCTACTTTGTCGTCAGTCGTGACAGAAGTATAAAACAAGTATAACCCGTAAAAACAAAGTTTTTCACTATAAATCCTTTATATGCGTGGCGGCTAGAGTCCTCTCGTCCTCTGGCTTGAGATGGCTGCCACCTATGGGTCAGATGATTGTCTGCCAGTATTAAGCAATTGATAATTAAATATTTAATCTGTTTTCCCTAAACAGTGTAACATTTTGGAGATTTTTTTTCACGAACATTAATTGTCTCGCACAACGAGTGTGTGTAAAATGTCAGCTCGATTGGATCACAGGAAGTGGGTTAAAAAACGACCGAAAGATTTGCACGGTCGTAAGCAAGCAAGCACGCAAGCAAGTGAACTTAATATAAAGGATTTAAAAAGACCAATGATAGAACTGCTCACCCTGAGCGGAACATGTGTAGTGTCGGAAAATGCATAGCACACGCCGCCCTATGTACACTTAGCTGTAGTTGCGGGCACGGGTCTGTAGAGGGTGCCACCCTGAGATAGAGCCGGACCGTTGAGTAACAGAGTTCCCCCGACCCCAGGTGAGGGGTTGGGGGGTTATTCCAGAGCCCCTTGGAAGGTTCCAGAAAGGGGGCGGTACCGGGGGCGGTGAGTCCCCGAGGTGGATATAAAAGACGGACCTCAGGACGGCTCGAGGCAGTGCTCTGAAGACTGAAGACCAGCTCGGCTAGGACCCCAGGACCCAACGTCCTTTTAAGGGCCGGGGTCGAGCACGGGCCAGTGGTCGAGTCCCTGGCTGGGTCAGGCCAACATAGCCTCCCCTAGGTCACCCTTAGCAGGAGGACTGAGAGCCCGTGGTCCCAATGATAGAGCAACATAAGTCCGGAGGCCATACCTCCCCAGGTAGCGAGTAAAGGAGCCATCACCCCTTTGTGTTAGGGACCGATAACGTTATTGTAATGTTTATTGTAATAAACGTGTTGCCTCTAAAAGCTACGTCTCCGGTCTCCGTGCAAACCCACGACACATGCTCTGATACGTGCATTGGCGTTGTACTATTCGTCTTTTAGCGTTCTCTGGTCTGACTGGCGAGACTCGGCCATAAAGAACACCGTCTCTGGTGTAGGCCAATCAGTTTCTAAGACAATGCATACATTATATTATCAGAGCATGTTTTGTTTGCATGTTCACAAGTACGTGTGGTTAATGCAGACTTGATTCCTTTCAAAAGGTATCTATTTGGTGTTTGAATATCTTTACACCTGTTTTATTGCCAGAAAGTATAAAATCTATTCTTAGTTTTTATACTTTGTTACTGGCAAAAAAGGTCTCATGACATCTAAACAGTGTTAGTCTCCTGTTTACAGCCAAGCCAGTGGTGGAAATTCCTCATTCCTGTGGTGGGAGCAAGCCTCCCGGTAGGATAGCTGCTGTTGGCTTTCCCACAAAATGATTGTAAAAAAAAAGTACATGAGGAACAATGGAATTGGTTAAGCTCCAATCAGGATTTAACTCGCAGCCTTACAATTGTGGTTCGCTCACTCTAGCTCTGCCACCTGGCCGGTAATATACTGCACTACCGATGTAATATGGGATCGAGACCCTGAATGAGTGAAATCATTGGATTTGCGAATTGGGCATGCTTTATAACTCCGCAATCCACGTTTGAATAGCCCTCTTACACGATCAGTTCCTAATAACATTTCCATTTATATTAAACATTTATAAAAACCACAATTATTAAATTACAAATTTATTATTTTTAAATAGTGTTTGCAAGTGTTTTAACAATGCGAAGCACTTGGTCACATAAAATACATTTAAGTAAATGAAAACTTACATCCGTGCCCCTATTCATGAATGGCGTTTCACACATACATCACCAACTAACCACCTGGCAGACTGCGAGACCATCACGGCTTACTAAGCTACTGACAATTGTATGGGCACAAACAGCATGCAGGCTTCTATGTAACAATTCCTAAGGACATACATATTACGGCAATCATATAGCACCTGATATGAGTATTGTTTTACAAATCCCATTCAACTGTTACAACGGCCAGGCGTACCACGTGATCGCAGGGCTGCCATCACGTGATAATTTATTGATTTCATCTCTTCACTCCATACGAAGGGGAAAGCATTTTTGTTTGCATACTGTGCCATTACGCAGAGTTGTGATGGCCAAGTTATTAACTTTATTTTTTTTGCCAAATATACCACAACAGTTGAGTGACACGAGAGCCATTACATTCTAAGTGGTATCCCAGGGCAAGGATTTGAGAATGAGAGGTGCCAGGCAAAACCACAATTATAAACGAGGCATGTGAATCCCAATGCCGGATTGACAATCAGGATGAAAATAATGAGCAAATGAAATGTTTTATATTAAAAATCAGGCTGATGAATGCATTTTCCTTCAAATGTATTGCAATGCAAAAAACTTACACCCTATTAAGATTAAGGCACATTTTAAAGAATGAAATAATCTCCAGACAAATGTTGGGACACATAGGAAGGTATTAAAGGTATTGTAAAAAAAAAAATTCAAATGCCAACACTGCACTATGTTACGTTCAGTTAATATGTAACAATACAAATTTTTTTTTAACATATACTGACAAACAAATCCTGCGATTGTACTCCAGAGTGAACCTATATGGCCGTTAGTTATGGATTTGCAGAGGGATTTTAGACTTGAACGTGGCCGTCTCCGCGTCGTTGTTGCAGCCGTTGCTCTTGTTCTGGAGGCTCGGCGTGCAGGAGGAGTGTGCCTTGTTCTCCTTGTCCTTCTTGGTCTCTTTGTCCTTCTTGCTTCTGGATGCTCTCTGGGCACGCAACGTTTAAAAGTCAGCGATTTCCTGCTTATCCCTGAGCCAGGTGGACGTTACTATGGCAGGGGAAAGTCTATCCATGTGATAACCAACAACGGAAACTTATTTTAATGACCCCAGAGGGATGATAGGCCGAGTCAACCGCCAACCCAGATTTGAACTCCCAGCCTTCCAATTGTGAGCCGCTGCTGCTGCTGCTGTCGTGGTTCAGGTCTCACGTAAGGGGTCAGCTGCACGAGTTGTCCCAGGTTGTTATTATTGTTGTTGTTCATTCACTATGTGAGTGGAGGGTGTTCACTGAGCCACTTGGTTGGATACGCTTTACAGTTTATATTTTGTTTATAAACTGTAAATAACAGTCATTCATAATTCCATGCTGGTTTAATAGCTTGTACCTCTACTTTTTTTCTTCCATCCGATGGAAGAAATACATCTTAATAGCTTCTCATGTCAATGAATGACAGCTACTCAGCTTACAACAGACTAATATTTTTAATTTGAAATGCAGATATCACCTTTAATATTAAGACAATGATTGTATCAGGAGAGAATTGTATTTTTGTTGTTGTTTACATATTCTTAATTTCATACGTGTTTTTCAATACTACGCAAAAATCTCTAAAATAAACAAGACGGCTGTGCGACACAACTTGGAATATTTCTTCTTCTGCCGCAAGAAGGGCATGGATTCGATTGCCAGATCGGGCCGCTTTCTGTGTGCAGTGTATATGTTCTGCCCTTGTTCCGAATGGATTGCCAGGTTTCATGCTGTGGCTAAACATCCTAATGCTGAAAATGTACCTGCAAATTTGCTCAATTGGGGTTACGCGTAGCAACAATGCCAACTACTGTGACAACTTGGCAGGACCCTCCAGAAAGAGTTGCAATTCGGCAGGCTATCCTGGGTCATCAAGCCTAATAATAAATAGCAAGACAAATTTTAGAGCACTTTGTTAACAAAAATAAAAAAAACTTTTTATTTTACCAGGTAAGGTCCACTGAGCTACACATCGCTCTATTTGAGGAGTGACCTGGCCACAAATAATAGCTCAAAGTGGCGGCTTATCATGTGGAAATTTATAGCAGCCAAATACTCTAAACGCATGTTTCTACATGTGAAGGGAAAGACCGGAGGACCCGGGGAAAAATTTACGTGACCACAGGGAGAACATGCAAACTCCACATATATACAACAGGCATCAGGGTCGGGATCGAACCCACGAGACCTCCTGCATACCAAGTGGGGGAGTTAATATCTCTCCACCGCGACACAGTTGATTGTTAATCCACTGCTGGATAGGCCTCTCTGTTTTGTGCTGTAAACCACACGTCACCACGCTATCACCAGCGCTGTTTCATACCTGAAAGAAGGGAAGACCAGAGGAGTCTTCGGAAGGAACATCTTCATCGATATCGGACTTCTCCGTTGACTCTTCCTCAAAACTATCACTTTCTTCTACATTGTCCTGTAACGGCAACATGGAATATTCAGCACGATACGTATGTTGAAAATTTTCTTATTATTATTGAATGAGTGTGGCTTCCAAAACATAAATGCAAAGGGCATTCCATGATGCAATGTCTTTTGTTGTTAAACATGTGAAACTGTAAAATTCTAAATCATATTCGAGTCAATGTTAAATTTTTTGGAAGTAAACAATCAAGGCACCATGCAGTAAGCACGACCTGTGCGAGATCCCGGAGGTACATTGTGATGTACTCACAACACACGCATCAAACTTGATATAACTAGCCGAGTTAGCCTTGACTGGTTAGGTTTTAATTTAGTTTGAGCAATTTAAGTGATTAGAATGTCACAAACTATACCTTTCCCTAACCACCCACAGTCAGGCTCAAGAGAGGACTAGATCTATGGAATCATTACACCTCAAGTGCGTAGCAGTGCAACTGCTGTCATCTACATACTAATATTGATACGTACGTGTATAAACAGTAATATAATATAACGTTTAACATTCTGAATTACTTTTCATGTTTCAATGCAGAGAGGCAAAGTTAATTCATGTTTACACACAACATAACTCGGGGGGCCGTATTCTCAGTCACGGCTTGGGTCTGTCTCGGCCTCTAACACTCGGGCTCAGCTTGGGATCAAGCCGCTCCGTTTCTTCCAAAGATGCAGGAGCATGGCTTGGACCATGCTTAAGTTGCAATAATAATGATTAGTTTGGTAAAATGTCCGTACAATTCGTATTTCTTGAGCTGGGAGTGGTTCTCCACGATGAAGCGTGTCCACCTGCTGTTGTAACTTCTCAACCAGAGCATCGTGGGGTTCCGTTCGCTGCAGAACCCGTGGGTACCGGTACTCCTTACGCTGGGGAGTTGTGCCTGCATTCAAAATAACTCCGGTCAGCATCACAAAGTGAACTTAAAATACATGTTATTATGATGCACTTGTTTACACAGGAAAAACTCAGTCTGAAGACTTTTTCAGAATCATCCTGCCAAGTTCAGTTGGGAGGGCGATGTTTGCCGTCTGATCCAAATCGAGTATTTGTCAGGTAATTTTTTAGCACTGGGATGTTTGGCCAATACCAGATACATGGTATGTTTTTTTTCTTTTGCCACGGGAGATTGTGGCAACCCGGAAAAACCTACACAGAACAAGGGGAAAACATACAATCTCAACAGAGAAAGACGCCTGAATCAGAAACTTATTGCTGTAAAGCACTGCACTAACCTGCCGCTGTATACCATTACAAAAAGGCACTCGAGCCTGCAACAGTGGTCAAACATAATTGGGCTGGTTTCATTGGCTGTTAGATCATATTTAATAATATATAATCTGTTGCTGCCAATGAACATAAAACTGAACCTGCAAGACAACATTGTATACTCAATATATTCAACATTTTAGTTGCATTCAAGTTTCCAAGGAAGTTGTTTTTACACTACATTCAGGCCAGGTGCCCGATTTAAGGAATAACACATACTGCCATTAACAATTGTTGAATCATTGTGTATATTTCCTTTGAGCAAGTTAAATATTTGTATTTGTTTATACAAGTACAACAAAATTCCAGTGAGTGTTACAATAAAAAAGTTTCAGTTAAACATCTGTCATCAATTTGCAGTGTGCTTCATTACAGCAGTGAACTACCATCACACCTTATTACATAGCTGCACTGTAAAGTGGAAAACCCATGACCCTAGCACAAATCAGACGATTAATAGTGGTAGGTAATTTTCCACGTATCACTCATCCGAATGCCACATAAAATGCAAATGTGGTATGGCCTTTATAAAATACTGAAGGAGCAGTGAAGTGACCTGTAGGAATGTCCTTCTTGAAGTCATCATGGAAGAATTGTTTGATCGTCTGGAGGCATGTGTTCCTATTCTCCTCCAGGACTCTCGAGAGCTGGCTAACAGCCTCCCGATCAATTTCCATCTGCCTCTGCAGATTCACGATTGCGGCCTGCAGTTGCAACTCGTGTTTCTGCAAATGGCAGCTCCACGCTCCTCTAACTGCATCCATTCTAGTTCCTGAATCCTGTGGAAGTAAAGAACAAGCACAACAAAAACCAACATTGTACAAATACACCAATTAAAATACCCACTGCAGTTGGCAATGCACAATCACAACTCCAATCTATTAAAATACAGAGTTCGGAAGAAGCGAATGCATGGGAATGTCAATGACAAAAGTAGACCTACCAAAAATAACATTGATCTAAACAAAAATCTAGTCATCTGGCCAGAAACGTAAGGTATATTTTGATACGCCAAGAATCATAAGTGAATATGTTAGTTTGACGGCACAAAGAGATATATAACAAACACAACTAATAAGTAAACGTCACAATTTATCCCTCCAGAAAATCGACACATGTTTACGATTTGGGGTCTAGATTCAGTTAAGGTACATTTTCTTGTCTCAATTCCACCGGCAGCACTTAACCATCGAGCCCAACACTGCAACTCGATTTGTAAACCATAAACGTGGCCCATCTCATCACATCGCGGAAGCTAAGCAGGTTGTGCCTGGATGGTGCTTGGAGATGACCACTGTGCATGCCAGGTTATCATAGGTGGCTGTGAGGCTGTGCCATGTTATGGTTAGAGGACAATGCAGAAAAACTATTGGACTGCGCTTCTATGCCACAATATCCTTGTGCTCTCCAGCTTTACCAACTCGGTGAAGTATGGTGAAACATCCCATGTGAGGAACACAACTTAGGGAGGCCTTCATCCAGCAGTGGATTTACAAAAGGCTGAACATTATTACTAAAGAAAAGTTGTAAATGTTCTGGCCATAAAACACACATTCACATTTTCAGAGATTTGTATACAGGAGACCCTTGAATATCTTGGGGTTTATATTCTAGGGAAGTGCCGCAAAAGCCAAAACTGTGAAATTCAATACTTAAGCCATACCTAAATAATGGGGTTAGGTATACGGCAACCAAAAATAGACACCACAATTGAAATACTGTATGGCTAATAAACTAAAAACTAAATAATTTAAATTAACACAACCATATACCAAAAAAAATCCTAAACAAATAATAGTACAAATACTGAATACCGTACCTACCAATGATGATCCAAAGCGTGTGCGCGTGTGTTGGTGCTGGCCAACCACCCCCTCGTGTGCCATGCCAGCCTTCATAAGTGCTTGATAACTGCACTTGCCCCAACAGTCTGTTACTAGGCTATACGGAGAATCGTTGTCTTTGATAATTGGTTCTTTACCCTTCTATCTGGCAACAAAACTGACACCTTTTTGCAAGGAGTCATGTTTGCATAGACCGCAATACCTGCAGTCATAATACAAACAAAAGAACATAACTCTGATAATGTGCACTGTCCTTGAAGTTGATTGGTCCACACCCGAGACAGCTTTCCTTCGAGCCTAGTCTCATATGGGTTGGGCCAGATGACGCCAAAAGTTTGTTTGTATTATGACTGCAGGTATTGCGGTCTATGCAAACATGACTCCTTGCAAAAAGGTGTCAGTTTTGTTGCCAGATAGAAGGGTAAAGAACCAATTATCATATTTTTACTGGCAAATGAGGTCCCCATAGAATCGTTGTCTTTGTCCACAAGATTTTTGCATTACAGGTTGAGGTGCGACCGACTGCCTCGCATCCCTCGCCCACCCCAAGGTATCAACCAAGGATACGGTGCGTCCGTCTACAGTCTACAGTATACGCGCGAAAGGCCAAAACCAACCCCCGCGATAGCTACAAAGGTTGCCCGCGATAGGTCGAAACCATGAATGATTAACCCCGTGATATTCAAGGGTCTCCCGTATTGGTGAATAGTTCCCTTTAAAAGCTTGAGGTACCTTTTGTGAGGCTTTCCAGGCGTTCTGGTTTTCCTGGAAGGACATCTCTTGATGCGACATCATTTGTTGCAGCTGACGTTGCTGATGGTCGTAGGAGTTGTGCGACGAGGCCTGGAGCCGGTTCAACTCGGCACACAGGGAAAGTTGCTTTTCTGCAGCCAAGTCAGACTGCGCTGTTCCTGCATTACTCATAGCATGCATCTCCCCATGCACACCACTCAAGCTGTCAATCATGCTTGTCCCACACACCTTTGTCAAGTCAGCTCCATTCTGCAAATCACTGTACACAGCACATGAACACAACATAGATTAAAAAGCTATATCAATCATCATTATCATCAACATTGACTATATTCTGGCTCCCAAATAAAAACACACCTTAATAGCATAAGTGACAATGATGTATATGTAATGTCCCTCACGGATGCAGACCCAGGCCTAACACGTACATTACGCAGCAGCTACAGAACCCTACTGGATATTCCATGGCATGCGTGTCAAGCAACATGGTGTAACAGTCCTGCAATAACATGGCTCAAAACATGTTTTGTACATGTTACTAATTTTGTCATGGGTGAGAAAATGAGATAAATTAACATGAGGATCTGCAATACCAATATTTGTCTCAAGTATACTTTCCACGCCAATGTGAAGGCTTACTCTTTGGGTCTTTCGGTAAAGTCACGTAGATAGAATAAAAATAAAAAAATAAAAATCACGACGTTTAGATCGCCACCCAAGCAATCGTCTTCAGGTGAAAACATACAGCAGGCGGACTGCTGAGGCAGGAAGAAATATTGCGAGAGAGCTACTGCAGCCAAAGGTTATTAAGGTTTGAGATGTACAATCCAAGGTTAAGTGGGCGGGGCTAGAGATGGAATTTGCAAGTAAATGTAAGATCGCAGAGCTCGGTACACCTCGGCCATTGTGTTGCTAGAGATTAGCATATCAATCTGTTAATGTAACCCCACGGCTACGGTGCTGAAGCCATTTTAGTGCTCGAGATTAGAGATTAGCATGTCAATGTGAGACGGCTCCCGCAGCAGCGGCTGTGTTAATGAGACACATTCAGTCAATTAAACAACGAGCGCCACCGCCGCATCGAGGACTCACCCACCTACAAACTGGCCCAATTTCGTCTGAGACCTTGCTGCCATTCACTGGCAAGACCATCTCAGCTGTACTTAATTCAGCTCACTTGGTATCTCTAATTAAAGACATCTCACTATCTCCAGGAGATTTGCTTGTTAGCTTCGATGTAGTTTCTTTGTTTACCGAAGTTCCTGTGCCTGACACCATTGCAATCATTGAAGATTTGGTCAAACAAGGACTGAATGCTGATGTACCGGCCCTGGTGAGACACTGCCTCACCAACACTAACTTCACCTGGAATGGAACATTCTATAAACAAGTTGAAGGTAATTCTAGAGTTGAAGTTTTAGTGACTGCAAGAATCCATACTCTTTGGTTTTATTCGGTAAAGTCACGTAGGTAAAAAATAAAATTAAAATAACAAAAATTACATCACGACGTTTCGGACGCAACACAAGCCTCCGTCATCAGGAGGGGACAACCACAGTGAAGACAGTTGCTGAGATATGTCAAAGAGATAGCTCTAACACGGGTTTATATAGCTGAGGAGGGTGGGGTGAAATGAGGGCAGGGTGAGTATGGGGGCAGGGCATGGGCTGGGGAAGCAAATCCCAAAGCTGGGCATACAGCTCATGTCCCACGGGTGGGGGGGAAGTGGCGGAGAGTGGACTCGGACAAAACTACTACACGATTGGAAAGCTGAACCTCAAATTTCCTAGTGATGTGCAAGGCTGGGAGTAAAAGACTGGTGATGTGGATATGAATATAAACTGTTAGGCAGCGAGGGTTTAACTTGGTTAATAACATCCTTCCAATGATTGCTCAATTTTAATCCATCTTCTCGGTTAAAGTTTTGTTTATGTTTGTATATCTGGATGGCCTCATGGACAAACCTTTGGTGGTATCCAGACGGCTTGCAGAGCACCTTGGTCTCGGAAAAGATAATATCATGAGAGCCCACAGCATTATAGCAATGATCAGCAACGGCGGAGGAATTCGTCCTGCCGTGTTTCAGATCTGCCTTATGCCCGCGGACACGGTCAGAAACATGACGTTTCGCCAATGTAACAAGCACCACAGATGCAACTTAGTTTGTAAACACCAGGGTATTGCAAGTCAGGAATGACATATTTCATAGATGGGATTAGATCACGGATTTTGTGTACTGTACTGAATTGGACCTGGATCTTGTGTTTGTTTAAAATTTTTGAAATATTTTTGGTAACGCCTGCTATGTATGGTAACGTGATGGTTTTGATCGGAGTCTCAGGGAGTTGTTTCTCCATGGTTGGAAAAACAGCTTTGCGGATAGTATGGTCCGAATATCCATTCATCTTAAGGGCCCGATGTACATGTTCCAATTCACTGGCCAGGTGCTGTTGGTCAGAAATGCAGTGGGCCCTATGGTGTAGTGTTTTGATGAGGGAATTCTTCTGTGCTGGATGGTGGTGGGAATCAGGTTTTAGATAGGAATCTGTGTGGGTGGGTTTCCTATTATTAACCAAAACACAGCAAGAAAATTTGCTGTGTTTTTCACACCTGATGATGATTGCTTGTGTTGCAGTCGAAACGTCGTGATAATTTTATTGTTTTATATTTTTTATTATTTTATTGTTTCCCTTCTACGTGACTTTACCGAACGAACCAAGAATATGAATCCCTGCAGTCACGAAAGCTTCAAATCAGGACAGTACATACAATTCGTGATCTGTAAAGGATGTGATCCCTGACATGCAATACCCCGGCATCTACAAACTAAACCGTGTCTGCGGCAGTAGTTACATTGGGGAAACTAAGCGACATGTTTCAGACCGTGTTCGCAAACATAAGGCGGATCTGAAACACGGTAGGACCAACACCTCTGCCGTGGCTGATCATTGTTTTAACACTGTGGGCACACATGAAATTGATTTCTCCAAGACGAAAGTACTACGCAAACCCACTTGCTATCAACAAAGATTTGTTCATGAAGCCATCCAGATATATAAACAGATACAATTTCAACCGAGAAGATGGGTACAAACGGATCAATCATTGGAAGGACGTTATTAACCAGGTAAAGTCATAACTGGCTGTGATGCTTTCATCCTACCTGCCTATGTTAGCAGTTATTTCCGACTCTGAGTTACATTACCTTGTTAAATGTCTTTACATTAACAGGCTAAATGTCTCACTAAAATAGCTGCTGCTCCCTTTTCCTCGATGCGGCGATGGCGCTCGTTGTTTAATAGGCTGAATGTCTCTCATTAACACAGCCGCTGCTGCGGGAGCCGTTCCACATTGACATGCTAATCTCTAATCTCTAGTAACACAATGGCCGAGGTATACCTAGCTCTGCGATCTTACATTTACTTCAAATTCCATCTCTAGCCCCGCCCACTTACCTTGGGTTATAACCATCTCAAACCTTTATAACCTTTGGCTGCAGTAGCTCTCTCGCTATATTTCTTCCTGCCTCAGCAGTCCGCCTGCTGTATTTTTTCACCTGAAGACGATTGCTTGTGTGGCGATCGAAACGTCGTGAATTATTTAGTTATTTTTCTATCTACGCAACTTTACCGAAAGACCCAAACAGTATTAATTCCTAGGTCACGAAAGCTTTAAGTCAAGATTTAATGTGAAGGCTATTTATCAACATGGCAGAATTTTGTACGTGATGGTAAGGTATTTAATGCGAAATGTGGAGTAATCGATCTGCATAAAAATAAATAAGTGACTTTATTTTCATTATATTTTCTCATTTCCCCTCAAGCTCCAAAATGCGTTTTTTATTCACAGGCTGACTTGCTCTGGCAAGCTCCCTGGGCCAGGGAGGGCTTGGTCAAGGCCTTCCCAGTGTCTACTTGAAGCATTAGAGGCCTGTGCCGTGATGACAATGGCTCAATAAGACGCAGCTGAGTTACACAACAGAAGCAGACTTGAGACACAGCAGGACAGTGCAATATCACGCTTGACATTATATTAAGGGCGCAATCGATGTCCCGCATTTTGTATAACACTGGCGAAGCCCAGACGCGCAGTCTCATTATTTCTCTCGTTAAAGGCACAGGAGAGAGAATTCAAACACGAAAAGCATCCTGATATCTCCAATGTCCTGTATCGGTGTAAAATGAACATCAAATGTGACATGCTCGCCCTCATCACGGACTTGCACGTGACATGGCATGCCCTCTAGAGCACTCCGGCCTGAGGCAGGCATGAATGCCATGTGCTACAGATGGGAAGTGAAGAAATATCTCCTGTTCACCTTTACCTCTTTATAGTGTTGTGGAGGTTTCCCAGGATTGTGTCAACATTGTCCGCACAGTGCAACATGCTGGCAACTTCATCCTCTGCTTGACTATCCAAAGAGGTCAGCTCTGCATTAAGAGTTTGCATCACATTCCGAATTTCCTGTAAAAAATATACAACTCATGTTTCCCAAGTGGAATTATTACAAACACATAACATGCATCCGTGAGTATTATAACACAATTTGCAAAAGACCAAATCCATTTTGGACCTACAGTATTAGTCTTTCAAGGGCAATGTCCTAAAATAACACTAATTTTCATAGGCCACCTATTGGTTGTGTGTAGTATGGCAGCGCAAAGGAATGACTTGCCAATCGCAAAGACCAAAGGCAAATATGTTTAGATTTTGACTTAAAACTTTCGAGACTGTAGGAATTCATATTCTTTGGTTCTTTCGCTAAAGTGACGTAAATAAAAATAATAATGTGAATAAAAATAATAAAATAAAAACCACGACGTTTCGATCGCAACACAAGCGGTCGTCATGAGGAAAAGAGGGGTTAGCTTCTAAAGGCAACCTGTTTATAAAGGTTTAAAATGGGCATAGCCCAAGTGTCAGCAGCATGGACGGGGCAGCTAATGTTAATGTAAGTGATGGAAGTAGTCAGCAACGATGGTGCTGGTGGTGGGTATCCACCAATTCAAGGGCTGCCAAGTAAAGGCTTAAAATGGGGGTAGCCCAAGTGTCAGCAGCATGGGCGGGGCAGCTAATGTTAATGTAAGTTATGGTAGCATAGGGCAACGACAGCGCTGGTGGTGGGTTTTCACCAATTAAAGGGCTGCCAGGTAATCACTGAATCTCGCTTTACACACTCACATTGTTGACGGTGGAGGTTGCTGCTAGAGGTGATGGTAATAGTGGGTAATATGATTGTACAGGTGGTGGGCTTCCACCAATAAAGGGCTACTGCTAGTAGTGATGATAGTAGTGGGCAGCGATGGTCCTGGTGGTGGGCTTCCACCAATTAAAGGGCTGCCAGGTCTAAAATGGCTGCCAGGTCTAAAATGGCTGTGTTCCCATTTTAGACCTGGCAGCCCTTTAATTGGTGGAAGCCCACCACCAGGATCATCATTACCCACTACTACCATCACCTCTAGCAGCAACCTCTACGTCAAGATTGTGAGTGTGTAAAGCGAGATGCAATGATTACCTAGCAGCCCTTTAATTGGTGGAAACCCACCACCAGCGCCGTCGTTGCCGACTACTACCTTCACTTACATTAACATTAGCTGCCCTGCCCATGCTGCTGACATTTGGGCTACACCCATTTGAAACCTTTATAAACAGTTTTTTGTCTTTAGAGGCTAAACCCCCCTTTTCCTGATTACGACCGCTTGTGTTGCGATCGAAACGTCGTGGTTTTTATTTTTATTATTTTTATTCACTTTATTATTATTTTTCTATCTACGTGACTTTACAGAAAGAACCAAATATGTTCATTAATTTTGCAACTTAATAAAAATTACGACTCATCACTCAATTAAATTAGATAATGGTCAATTATGTTGTTGCAAAATATATTCACAACACCATACATTAACACTACTGCCATGTGAATGGTTATTTCAATTCACACGCCTTTTCAAGTTCCAACCTGTGCTTGCTGTTTTCTCTGAAGTTTCAGTTTCTGTTTCAAAAGAGAATTCTCCTCTGCCAGCCGCCTGATTGACGAATCGGCGCCAAGACGAAGTTTCTCTAGAATTTCAACAAGGTTGGACGTAAACGTTCTCAATGTGTCTTTAACCTCTTCAGCCTGTCGACAGCCACAGTAGGAAATCACAACATAAAAGGGGTTAAAGGCCTCATTACAATATCAAATATAGCAGTGAATCTAAGATGTCTAAACGTCGGCTAACCAGGAAACCCTTAAAAAACAGTCCATTCTGCAACAAAGTAGTTGCGTTCCTAAAGAACACCGCGTTATGAAAAAATAGCAATACAATAAATAGTATAGGATAAAGCAGTCCACAATAAACATGTGAGATGTGTATGCAGGCTGAACAAAGACGGAAGCGTGTGGTGGGTAGCATCTAGAAGGATCCAGTAGTATCCCACCGTGTATGATGCTACGCCAAGGCAGCCATACAACCGTTTATTTCTACTCGCACAATGTAGTTCTAGTCACTCAAATCGCATTATATCCAATTCGAATCTGCGTTATAAAAGTGTTCCCGAATACATTAAATGCGTTATATCCAATTCACATTATGAAAACGTGCTATAGGAGAACAGACTGTACTGGGAGATACCAATTGGCTTTCACATCTAAATTGAAAAATAAAAGTGTCAATCTTTGCAGAGATGAGGTTACATGGTTTTCATGTTTTAAGACATGTTACTAGACGATGGAAACTCGCACAGCACCACAGAATTTTCCCGCCTTCTCAATTCGAGGGTCGAAACGATGACTCACAAAACGTGATTTCAGTGGGATGCTTGCTGCTCGTGTGGCTGCCGGCATGCCAGCAAATCAGATAACATCGTGGTGTACAGGAAGAGCCTTGGGGTTATCTCATGGTTGGTGCGTGACTTGTCAATGGTGCCCAGCCACGAGTAAAAAGTTAAGGGAAGCAGTTATATATATTTTTTAACAGTTAAATTTAGTACATACATTACTTTATTAAAACCTCAGGAAGCTTGAATCAAGAATGATGGAATTTAGGGTAAGCCAGACAGGCCACTGAAATCAATATAAAGCAGAGCCGAACGGAAGACTGTTCCTGCATTGCTCAATGTATACGCGGTAGGGTACGGAGCAATGCCCTCCGCAGTAGGGTACGGAGCAATGCCCTCCGCAGTAGGGTACGTAGCAATGCCCTCCGCGGTAGGGTACGGAGCAATGCCCTCCGCGGTAGGGTACGGAGCAATGCCCTCCGCAGTAGGGTACGGAGTAATGCCCTCCGCAGTAGGGTACGGAGCAATGCCCTCCGCGGTAGGGTACGGAGTAATGCCCTCCACGGTAGGGTACGGAGTAATGCCCTCCGCAGTAAGGTACGGAGCAATGCCCTCCGCGGTAGGGTACGGAGTAATGCCCTCCGCGGTAGGGTACGGAGTAATGCCCTCCGCAGTAAGGTACGGAGTAATGCCCTACGCTAATCCTGTGCAGATAAATCTTATATTTGTCTTGTAAAGTTTACTTACCTTTGCTGTAGTTGTTTGTAAATTTTGAAAAACCTTCTTATTGTGCATGTTGAGTTCATTTAACGATGTGAAAGTGGGAAGCAACGTGTTCTGCATCATTTCATCAACATCCTCCACGTAACGTTTCTAGAACACGCACACGATACTTGGACATTATGTCGAATCATCACAGAAGCACATTGAGAAATGCATCAATGTTACTGCAAGAAACACTCCTGTGCCACACAACACGAACACAGTATTCTCAGTATTTAAATAACAATGCTTTATCCTCGAATGTGATAAACACATTTCTGTATTCATGGTGAGGAATTCATCACAGTCCATGTCACTGGTGTCTGCACACCTCACCATCACCTCCTTGCTTTAAAGTTTTTTGTAAAATCAACAACGAACCTACTGGAGTGTCATAAAGAGGTTGCCGACTGATGGGAAGACCTGAAGCCAAATGGTGGGATCATTTAAGAGTGGCCCCTTATGTAAGAGTGGCCCTCTAATCCAACCCCGACCCTATGATGGGAGCTACACAGCAGGAAAGGAGTCATCTTGAAAGGGTAAGAGTACGTATGGCTGTGAACCCCCTAAACAAGTGCAGCTACCCAAGGATGACCCTTTGATTTCCCTAATGGAATTCACTGCTTCTACAGAGGGCGTCAATAGCCCTGAAACAAACATAATTGATATTTGGGCTAACCCAAATAATGATCTCAATGAAACGGTGTCGTTAAGAACCCTCCGCCATTTGGCACAGCCAAACAAATCAAGTGCAAGTCCTACAAGTGTTTAACACACCAATTGTTATTGTTGCAGCTCACTGGTATGTTGAACAATCCTCTATCAAATTTAGCAGAAAGATTATAATTTGTTTGGTTGTCAGGTGGTGTAGGGTTACTAATGATATAGAGCAAGTCAGACCATTATGTGACCGAACCCAACAATCAATAATGAATGATATTGACTGCAAAAGCCTATGCGTTAAGCATAAGGAACGATCCGAGCTTACCAGCCCTCAGATACACTTCCACAGTGCATACCACATGGTTATACACATTACATCCTAACACCCTCATTGTTTGTGCTCTTATTGCTTCCGATTCGTGAAGTGTACAGGACAAGCTGAATAAAGAACAAATCGCAAACATAACGTAACCAATACAGCATGCATGTAGGCCAACCGCATACACGTATCACGTGTGCATGCGGTCCATATACATTCCTTGGGATTTTCAAGGTGTACTGGCAATCTCACATTTAATTGACAATTTACTAAGAAACACACATCTAGACCACAACAATAATAAACACTGGGGATTTATGTAATCTATGCACTTACATTGACAAGCTCTCACGTTATGGTATGAGAATTTAACAAACAAAATGTTACTTTTACTTACGAGAGTGTGGTCCAATTGGGAACCGCCACTCTTACTGATCTCCTTCTGCTCATGAAGCGTCTGGACAAACTGTGCGAGTCGAGCCTGCATGAACTCTTTGAGGGAGGTCACCGAGCCCTCCACCTCCTCCAACACCCCCTGCAGAGTGTGCGAGCCGGCCTTCACGACGTCGCCTGCATGCCACACATTCACCCGCCATCACGGTCAGTGCCTCAGCACGTAGTGTTGGACTCACTTGTTGTCACAAAAACACACGGATTCAGAGTTTGGACAAGCTAAAAGAACCCATATACAGTAAAACCTTGGATTGCGAGCATAATTCGTTCCGGAAACGTGTTTGTAATCCAAAGCACTCGTATATCAAAGCACTCATATATCAGTTGTGATCACGTGACGCACGGCAGACAGCGTATACGTACTACTCGTATTGCACGACCTCGCTCGTTTATCAAATTACTATTTATTTAAAACATTTGCTCGTCTTGCAAAACACTCGCAGACCAAGTTACTCGCAATCCAAGGTTTTACTGTACAGGATAAAAATGCCCTTACCGACAAACCTTACATAAGGAAAACACTAGGAAATAATTATGTACTTGTCAAACGTCTAAAAAAAAGTCTAATAGAGTCTCGAATATACAACACACATGGTTATTTTGTAAACCTATACCTTCCCAGTGCATCAATTGACACAAGTTTACAGCTTGCAAATGATAATTTAAGGTCACTATTAGGAGTGACACTAGTAGTGCCGTCATTGCAGTATTATCGCCCTAACTTTTAATACATTAAGATGACAGGCAGGGTTGATCCTTGGATAAGGATACAGGGTTGATTTGATGCGGTTTCAGAGGTTACATAGTCATGTTTTACAAGAACTGCCGATTTGCCACATGTTTGTGGTCTTGAAATAAAATGGCACTCGTTTGTGTTTCTGGGTGTCTTCCACCATAAAACACGTTGCTCTTGGACAGCGCTTCAAAACCGGTGTTCCGTGGAAAGGTGGCAGGTGTGTCGGGTATTTTTAAATCCTTTATATTAAGTTTGCATGCTTGCGTGCTTGCTTGCTTACGACCGTGCAAATCTTTCGGTCGTTTTTTAACCCACTTCCCGTGATCCAATCGAGCTGACATTTTCCACAAAGACTCGTTGTGCCAGACAATTAATGTTCGTGAAAAAAAATTCCCAAAATTTTTCACTCTTTAGGCAAAATTTTTTTATTTTACATATATTCAAATAGAACTCATTCTTGGCTTTGGTTGAACGTCACAGTATAAGAGCCCAGAGTGTAACCCCTCCACAGGCCGTGGCGGAGTAGCGCAGTTGGTAGCGCCCTCGCTTCCCATGCCAAAGGTCGCGGGATCGATCCCCGCGTCCTCCACAGGCGAATATATTTTTAAATCCTTTATATTAAGTTCGCTTGCTTGCTTAGGACCGTGCAAATCTTTCGCTCGTTTTTTAACCCACTTCTCGTGATCCAATCGAGCTGACATTTTCCACACAGACTGTGTGTGACAATTAATTTTCGTGAATTTTTTTTTCCAAAATTTTACACTGTTTAGGGAAAACAAATTAAATATTTAATTACCAATTGCTTAATACTGGCAGACAATCATCTGACCCATAGATTGCAGCCATCTCAAGCCAGAGGACGAGAGGACTCTAGCCGCCACGCATATAAAGGATTTAGAGTGAAAAACTTTGTTTTTACGGGTTTACTTGTTTTACTTTAGGAAAAAAACCTCAAGACCCCACACCCCTACCGCCTACCCTCTCCATTGGTCACACATATGCAGTTGGGCATACGGACACAGACACGGAAACTCAGAGCCACACACAGATATATTGGATGCACACGCACAAATACTCATGCAGTTGGAAAAATTATTGTCACGGATTTTGGCAGGACCATTTTATGTTCTTGTTCTGAAAACGATAAGTAAAAATACAGGATTGTGATTTCTCTTTCTTGGCTAAAATGCATTCACACCTAGCGGGAACCAGTAACTATTTGGTTTTAATGTACTACGCAGATTGAGCAAGCTCATAAGTCTGCGCCGTGAATTGCAAAATGTTAAGAAGCACTGCTATAGGACAAATCACCGTGTATGCCATGGGTTCCCCGCTTACCCAAAGAAGCAGTGTAAGAGTCGACCATGCTGCACTGTAAGTCTCTCTGCATCTGCATCTTCCCTTTGGCCTCAGTAAAAAGTTGCTCAATCTGTTGGCTGAAGATGGTCGACACCATTTCATTGTGAGTCTCTACGACGGTCTTCCGTTCCAGCTTCATTTGCAGGCCTTGCAGATCCTCAGTGGTTTCATCTGCTGTGAGTAGCAACTGCATACAACACGTAATATGCCAGAAAAAAAATGTCATTTTGTCACTGATGAGAGCCAAAGTACAGGCATATAACAATTCATCCTCAGGGGCATTGAGCAATTGTAACTATTTATATTTGCAACTCGTTGAAACAAAAAGCGGCAATTGGCAAGGCCTCAAGCGGCTGCAGGAGAATTAATCAATAACATACAAAATCTATTATTTAAAACATCAATTATTACACGATTCGATTCTTCTATAGGGAGGATAAGACTATGAATCGATGTAAAGATCCAAACATTCTTAAGTTTATACACTTCGAAGTACATTATGAAAAAAAACTTGAAAGATATTAATCCCAGTAAAAACAACCTGAGAAAATGAACAATTAATTTTGCAGACGGTACCATTTTGTTATCTGAAGATTGGGCACCTAATGGTTTGCAAGACAATTTATTAAAGGATATTGATGTTATTCAGAATCAACTACAGGTATCCCTCAATTTATAAAAGCGAAGTGTTATTAAAAAAACACAATACAATTTTGTAAATCGGGATGGCTTTTTCCAGTAATACAAAAAAATTAGGGACGTGTTTCGGACAGTCATTCTAACTACTCCTCACCTAAAAAGATCCACTTTTCACAATACAAAAATAAAACATTAAAATTAAAACTATAATAATTATATTTTTAAATCATTAACCATTTCAGGGAACTCACCAAAAGATCTGCATGTTGGAATGACTGGCAAGGTGATGTGGAGGCATTAGTTGCACGAGGAATACCGCTACTCTGTTGCGGATGGATGATGCAGCCTCCCGGTGCTTCTTGTTTGATCTCGTGGCACGTACCCGGTGAAATTTCGTTTGCACGAAATTCAATTTAGTTAACCGAAAAATATCCATATTTTGTCAATTGCTTTAACGAAAATTTTCTAAAACCGAACTTGTAAAATCGAGGGATACTTGTATTGCTTTGAAAACTTATTTTCAAAATGAGTAAAACTAAATTAGTTTTTTTCCCTCCTAAGATAAATTGTGGCTCTTCCCTTCCAATCTGTATTTTGGCATTGAATGGTCTAATTGTTGAATACACTGATCATTATAAATATCTTCATCAGTCTAATGATCAATCTTGAGAAGTTTTTTGTTGCTGTGGTTGTCCCACCTGATGACGATTGCTTGTGTTGCGATTGAAACGTCGCGATCTATTATTTTTCTACCTACATGACTTTACCGAAAGAACCAAAGAGTATAGTATAATGATCAGTTCAATAAATATACCATTCAGTGCCTATGCATATTCATAAGGTAATCAAACAAGTGAAATAAGGTTGGCTTCTTGTACAGAAACAAGCATTGTCTTCTAATGTCAATTCGTATAGAGATTATTGAAGCTAGTCATTCCGTTATTAAATCCTTTATATTAAGTTCGCTTGCTTGCTTGCTTACGACCGTGTAAATCTTGCGGTCGTTTTTTAACCCACTTCCCGTGATCCAATCGAGCTGACATTTTCCACACAGACTCGTTGTGCGTGACAATTAATGTTCGTGAAAAAAATGTCCAAAATTTTACACTTTTTAGGCAAAAAAAATTATTTTACATTTATTCAAATAGAACTCATTCATGGCTTTGGCTGAACGTCACAGTGTAGGAGCCCAGAGCGTGACACCTCCACAGGCCCTGGCGGAGTAGCGCAGTTGGTAGCGCCCTCGCTTCCCATGCCAAAGGTCGCGGGATCGATCCCCGCGTCCTCCACAGGCGAATATATTTTTTTACATTTATTCAAATAGAACTCATTCATGGCTTTGGCTGAACGTCACAGTGTAGGAGCCCAGAGCGTGACACCTCTACAGGCCCTGGCGGAGTAGCGCAGTTGGTAGCGCCCTCGCTTCCCATGCCAAATAGGCCGCTGTACATGAGCTGTATCGTTCAGTTTCGTTCCGACAAACGGGGCACTACTTTTTATATTGCTCAATATGTTCAACGTTAATGAAAGGTATCCAAGCAAAAAGTTCTCCACGCATTATCCTGCAGTTAATGAGAAAAGTGTAATTTATTGGCGCACTATATTAACTGCGTATTGAGACATAAAACTGTTGAGCTAGATTTTCAACCAATCAGCATCGAAAATGTAAGTAGGTCTGAGTCAAAATCAAGCCAATATCACTACGCACATGTAAACATGGAGGATGTAAGCAGTGCAGCTTCATCTGATAGCGGCGATCAAGCTCGATTAAGGTGAGTTCCACACAGCCATGTCCTTTATGGCAGTGATAGGCAAACGTTTCAAAGAAGCAGGACTACAGGATATGCTGATTGAATCAAATGTGGTAGCTGTTGGTTCAATAAATGGAGTCATTAGTAGACATCACTAAAACCGTAGCATTCATGCACACAAACTCCTATTTGAGGCAATGCATTTCTTGCGGTTGAGGTCATTATTCAGTCTCTTCCTGAGCAACAGCACACTCGTTACATATCAGCCATGGAAGATCTAGTACGAGAGTACAAGTCTGAGGCAGGATTTTCATCTAACTCAGTGTCTGACATTATCAGATATGCTGTCCTGCTATGATAGATATGTACATGAGATGAACTCTGTTAATCCCACCTTTGGACTTTGGAGCTCATACATTGAAATGGTTCAACTGTTACTGAGTTTCATTAGAGCAACCAGAGACTCTGACTGGAGCCTTCACTTAGCAACAGTGAGACGTATGCTGGCATGGTATTTTGCATATGACCGCCAAAATTATGCAAGGTACCTATCAGCATATTGGGTCGAGATGATCAATCTTCCAAAGACTCATCCACACTGCTATGAAGAAGTTACTGCAAAAGGAAACTGGACAGTACAGCGTAAGGATTATAACAGGTTCTCATCCATAGCTTGTGACCAAGCAATAGAACAAACCTGCAACCGTGATTCAAAGACCAAAGGCGGCATAACTGGGATAACATTGAACAGAGGTGCCGTCCAGCGATGGATACTGTCTCATCCTGAACGTTCTGCAATCACAAGGCAGTGTGAAATGATGGCTGGAATGCAACATGAAGAGAGGGGTCATAAAGAGTTGGATGCAACAAGAATTGCAAAAGACAATGCTGCTGTTATATCTTTGGTTTCAGCGGTTGAGTCTATGATCAATCCCTTCCTGCCTCGTGAAGATCTTGTATGTGTTAGCTCTGGTGTTGTTGCTACAAAGACTGTCAGAGATGACATACAAAGTGCTTGTGATAAGGTGAAACAGCTCTGAAAATTTTCATCCAAGATCGAGTCCAGTCATCAAAAACAGACTTCTTCTCTCCAATAAAGTCCTTGAAGCTTACTACGTTTGGGGATCAAATGAAGAAATCATCCAAGACAAAAGATGGAAATCAAGTCATTCTAAAAAATGACAGGAGACTCTTTGCACGACTGTTAGTGATAAGTCAATCCCGGTCTGTAAACTTGAAAGAGATTCTGACATTCACTTGGCAATATCTCATCCCCGCTAGCAAGCACTGATGGTTCATTAGCCAAAACAAATAAGGCTGCTCTTCTAGCTTGTTTATAATCAAAGAACAAGGACTGTCATGTGAACAAGACTGTTGGTGATAATGGTGCCCTACTGATAGATGGCATGGCATTGATCAGGAGTCTCAAGAATATACCAGACACATTCGGTGAGCTTGCTGATGATCTTCTTCAACTTATGATTAAGATGGGTAGAAAGTCCAGTTGTCCAAGGGTCGATTTTGTCATTGATCGCTACCCGGCAGTGAGCATCAAAAATGCTGAACGATCAAGACGTGCTGTTGCTGGACAACAATTACTGCAAATATACAGCATCAAGCAGAAGACTCCAAGTCAGTGGACCAAGTTTATAGCCAGTGGTGAAAATAAAGAAGCCTTGACAGACTTTCTCTTTGAGACATGGAGAACTGTGCCTTTACAAGCAGCTGGAAAAGACATAGCTATCTTTGTGGCACACATAAATGTAAGTTATCAACTCACTCTTAAAGATGGCATTATGTCTGTCAAAGAGGTAGAATCTTTGACTTGTGACCATGAAGAAGCTGACACGAGGCTCCTACTTCATGCAAAACATGACTGGAGTGAACTTTATAATAATATAATCATCCAGAGTCCTGACACTGATGTTGCTATCATTTCACTTTCAATGTCTAAGCTTCCCTCAGCAAAGATGTACTTTCTGACAGGAACAAAAGACAGGCAAAGAATGTTAGATCTCCAGGCTATTGGTTCTGCTTTGGGTCCTTCACTAACAGAGGCACTGATAGGACTACACACATTCACTGGCTGTGACTCATCTAGTTCCTTTTATGGGAAAGGAAAAGAGAAACCACTAAATATAGTGTCTGGAAATGCAGAGTACATCAGTGCATTTGTTGCTCTTAGGAGGCAATTTGAAATGGACAGCACCACATTTGTGACCATAGAACGTTTTGTGTGTGAGCTGTATGGAGAAAAGGTATCAGATGTTAATTTGGCCAGATACAATAGGTTCTGTGTCCAGGCCTCTTCCGAACAGGCATTACCTCCAACAAAAGATGCACTTACAGAGCACTTCAAGCGTGCTAACCACCAAGCTGCAATCCACAGATCATTGGATCCTTTAATAAATGCTCCCAGTCCAGAAGGCTTTGGATGGATTGTCAAGGATGGTGATCTCATCATATCATGGATGACTTAAGATCCAGATCCTCAACAGATTTTGGGGTCACTCCACTGTGGGTGTAAGTCTGGTACTTGTACAGGTGGAAGGTGCTCATGCCACAAGGCTGGCCTGGCCTGCACTGACCTATGTCAATGTGTTCATTGTGACAATGTGAGATTAACTGAGGATATTGTTTCATGTGAATCTGATAGTGAGGACAGTGATCTTGATATTTAGTGATGTGTATATGATAATAAAATTAATATAGGACATATATATTTAATATAAATCAATCAAAATTAAATCTTGTTTACAATAATCATTCCTGTGAATATGTACATGTAGTGCAGTTACTGCTCGTGTATGCGAATTGACAATTCACCATTAAATGTGTTATTTTGAAAAGTGTTTTTTTTTATATATTATATTTTGGCTTAATTCTATTTGTTATTCAGATTTTACCTCAAATATTACCTTTGAATTGGAACAACATAATGAGATGTAATTGGGATGTTAATGCTACAGTAGAAGTTTTCTTGATAATCTTATCATGTTTACTGTGCATAGGTAGCAACTTCAGGTATATCACACATTTCAAACTGGTTTATTTTGTACTTCAAGTGGTAATTCTGCATTTTTGGGTTTATATGATAAACAGGTTTGAAAGTGCAAAATTCCCTATGGTTTCCCTTTTTTCAAAATGGGCACCTTTAGCATAATTTTTCTCAAAAACTGCAAGGTTGTGTGTGGAGAACTTTTTCCTAAAAAATCTCTATATATTTCTGGTGTTAAATATAAAAAGTAGGTAGTGCCCCACTTGGTGGAACGAAACCCTATTTCTAGGCCTCTTTTAGGCTGCCGACAGCGGCCTAAAAGGTCGCGGGATCGATCCCCGCGTCCTCCACAGGCGAATATATTTTTAAATCCTTTATATTAAGTTCGCTTGCTTGCTTAGGACCGTGCAAATCTTTCAGTCGTTTTTTAACCCACTTCCCGTGATCCAATCGAGCTGACATTTACCACACAGACTCGTTGTGCGTGACAATTAATGTTCGTGAAATTTTTTTTCCTAAATTTTACACTTTTTAGGACAAAAATATTATATTTAATTACCAATTGCTTAATGCTGCCATGCAATCATCTGACCCATAGGTGGCAGCCATCTCAAGCCAGAGGACGAGAGGACTCTAGCCGCCACACATATAAAGGATTTATAGTGAAAAACTTTGTTTTTACGGGTTACACTTGTTTTCCTACTGTGATGTAGCATATCGGAATGCTTCGGTATACTTAAACTTAACCCAGTTTACCATGCTGCATTACAATTTGCAGTGGATGCTCCATCACTGACCTCTAGGCCATGGGTGGGCACATGTCCTTGGACGTGAGAAGACATTTTTACTGCAGGGCTATTCTAATTTACACAGCTGTTGTCCGTAATTCTTCCCTTTATGTCTGACCTGTTATTAAGTGCACAATCCTAAGAATCTGCGACGTTCATCTGATTGTCTATTAATAGTTACCAGATGTTGTACACAATTCAAAAGCATGTAATGTAGCAGCCAGTTTTGGAACCACCTAGTTTTGTCTCCTGGCATCTCCATTCTGCCATTTATTTCCTCATTTAATCTATTAAAATACATTTTAAGTGTGAATGTAACTTTAGAACATAATTGCTATTGTTTATTTGTTTTTAAATCTGTAATTGTGCAATGCTTTTGTTGCCTGCTGGCTGACTTCTTAGCTCAAGTGGACTTTATTCTCGATTTTGATTTACATTTAAATTTACACAAATGTTTTGACAGCCAATATTATTAATAATACAGTTATCGTTTCACACGTGTCCACACAACGCGTTTTCGCTATAAACACGGTTCTTATATTTGGGAATGCTTTTCGTAAAACGCGGAACGCGCACCGTTATAAAGTGGTCGAAGACGCACTACATTCTTGAGTTGTGCAGCTGAGCGGTATTATACAGTGTGCAGAATGCTACAGTATGCAGCACTCTCATCTCAGTTGTTTGTCCCGCCATGAAAAGACTGCAGGCGGATTTTATAGTGCAAATGTCCTTACATTTTGCATAATCCTCACAACCGAATATAGAAATTGGCTACATGGTTGGGAGGATTGTTTTTCAACTTACCGAGTTACTGCCACAATAACAATTGGTGCTTGAATGCTTGTAGACTTGAAAATATATTTGGTTGTGAGGTGATGGGTTCTTAATTACACATTTTGTCCGATCATTACGTGGCTTAAACAATTAATAAGGCATAATTTACATTGAGTGAACTATGCACAATATGAAATTGCCGAGCTCGTGGTTTACACCTGGTTCGCCGTCTGGTAGAGTTTCTCCTCTGTGGTACGGTGCTCCTCGACCAGTAGGGATGAGACTTGCAGCTGGCTCCGGACTTGGCTCAGGTCTTGGAAAGTCTCATGAAGCTGCATCTGGCATTGCTCCAGGCACGCAGTCTTCTCGTTCAGCTCTTTTTGGGAGTCCGTGAACAGCTCTGTCACCTACATGTCATGTAATAATCCCACAATATTTAATATAATATCCACAAATGCATAAAGTCGGAGTCGGTGGCATTAGTGTACTAACTCTCTTTGGGGTGATGACCAAAGGATTACAATGTAAAGACTCATTTTAAATTAAGATCATCAAGAAAGCTATGCTCAGTCTGCCATCCCAGCAAAACCCGGCAGATGATAGCATTGACGTCGCCATATCCCCGCCGATCACCTCCCATCCAGCAGCACAGGTGGAAACAGAAGTGAGAATTTTTTCTCCAACTAGTTTCATGTTATCCAATACGGCGAGTGATTGACCAGAAAGTTGGTAGAGTAATCAATTACTGACATAATCAAAATACATATTCATTGCATCTTTCGGTAAAGCCAATTGGCTTTACCGAAAGACCCAATGAATATAATCAGAATACCCAGTTCTACTTCAGGAATCATTACTAATGCGAGGCTGGTCCATTCCCTGCACTTCCGATCAGCAATGGTGGCTATGTAAGGTATGAAATAAGTTCCAACGTTCATGTAAAATTGTTGCAAAAAACGAGGAAGTAATTTTATACAATTATTATTAACCATCAACTTGTTACATGCAAATACTGTCATCTGCAGAGGCCAATATTTCTGCTATCCACAGATCTGGGGCCAAGAAGCTCTTAATGCCCACAAGCAATTGGGACAGAGGAACAAAAACTCCATGACATCACAGATGGAACACAACATAATCATGAGCGGTGTGGAGAATGTGTAACAAAATAAGCAGACAAATTGACTCCTTCCTATATCTTGCCCCTCATGAAAAATAAAAGCATGTTTTTTTATAATCCCATCAGCCACACGGCCTCCTAGGAGTGCATAACTCTGCCGCATTGGTTTACTACAAGCAAACTGCACCAGTTTGACATTCAGTGTATCATCAGCAGTCAGGCTTGCTTGAACCAATGGTGAACGACCAGATGTTTATATATGCAAAGACCCAATCTGCCCCACAGGCCAGCAACACTTATTCTCTTCAAAGAAAGAATGGATTTCAGTAAAAATGTAGATGCAGTTAGATACACAAGACTCACTCACCGTATAAACGCCATTCTCCTCATATGTAACAAAATCCTTGCTTTGAAGCCTAATATGAAGCCGTGACTCAGCCCATGCAACAAAATGTATTAGTCACAGCCCAGCGCAGGCTTTACTCTGGCTCAAGTGAGACGGCACAAAGGCACTCTCAACTTGAGTCCGACCTGAGCATGGTCTCAGGCACGCTTGGAATTTCTGTGAGCTAAGCCTGAGCCGAGCTATGGCTAAGCTGCTCATGCATCTTTGGAAGCAATGGAGCTGCTCAAGCCCAGGCTGACCCTGAGTGTTAGAGGCTGAAGAGCCAAGTCGTGACTAAGAATACGGCCCCGACTCATCTGCATTTCTTGCGCAAACTTCAAGTTTAATGTAAACAAGTGTTGTTGAAAGTTCTAAATTATGCCACGTCCTTGATAATCACCTTTTTAATTTCTTCTTCAATCGTGGATATTTTTTCATTGCATTCTAAGATGAGCTGTTCTTGACCAGTCAGTTTGCCCTGTATTGCTCTGTGAATAAACACACACATCCAATAAGTTATACGCCTGCACAGAAGCAAAAAAAACACAAATTCGTACATTTAAGATAGTATCGTTAGGGCTGTGTGCCTGTTTGGGGTTTTACTCTCGTTACGATCATACATTGTTATTTTCTCATCTTGTTGGAGTAATTCAATAGTTGTTAAGTTTAGCTCATGCATCCTGAGATCAAAATGATGCTTTGACCTGGCTGTCGACGAGTCTTGATGGCCTTACTCAAGCGGAACTCAGCTTGCATCCTGATCAAGTCTCAACCAAAAGGGGGCGCAGCGATCCCAGCTCACAGATGCATGGGGCGTGTGGGGGTCTGCGCAGGTGAGGGGGGGGCGGTGCAAAGGGGGGTGTGGGAGACCCCGCAAGTGGGGGGCAGGGTATTTGCGGTATTTAATAGTAAATCTGCGATAATATACGGTGACTCATAGGAGACATCCTTCTCAGAAAAGTAGCCAGATTCAAACGGCTAAATAAATGTGAGTACTCACTCATAGCTGTCCACAGGAAGGTAGACACCATTCTTATCTCGCGCCGAAGAAAGTTCCTTCTTGAGCCGTTCAATTTCTTCGGTGTATTCCTGCACACATTATACAATTTAAGAGCAGGCTCGTAGAAAGAAAATAAATTAAATAATAGATAACGACGTTTCGATTGCAACACAAACAATCGTCATCAGGTAGAAAACAATCCGAGTGAACTTAGAAATACAATGCAATACAACACAGAGACGGCTAACACAAGTCAGCACCTTACCTCGTTGATTACGTTCTTCCAAAGATTGCTAAATTTGAGAGAGACAAAACACGGAGACACAGACAGACACAAGCAGAGAGAGACAACAGACACAACATAGACACACAGACCCAATGCCTATGTGTTGAGGCCTTAAATAGAGAGAGAGGGGGGGTGGGGCAGAGAGAGGTGGGTCTGCTAGAGCAGAGAAATTAGCATGTCAATGAGAGAGCTGTGTGGAAATCCACCCCGCGGCGGCCGAGGGAGACAAAGACCCAACAAGCCTGGTAAATTTTAGAGAGAGTTGTGTGGAAATCCACCCCGCGGCGGCCAGGGGAGAGAAAGAGCGAATTGACCTATGAGAGCCTGGTAAATTTTAGAGAGAGAGAAATAGGCAGTTTGAGAAAACAAACTTATCAATTTCTCTGCTCCAGCAGACCCACCTCTCTCTCTGCTCCACCTCCCCTCTCTCTCTCTATTTAAGGCCTCGACACAGAGGCGTTGGGTCTCTGTGTGTCTATGTTGTGTATCTCTCTCTCTTTTTGTCTGTGTTGTCTCTCTCTGCTTGTGTGTCTGTCTGTGTGTCTCCATGTCTGTGTTTTGTCTCTCTCAAATTTAGCAATCTTTGGAAGAACGTAATCAACAAGGTAAGGTGCTGACTGTTGTGTTAGCCGACTGTGTTGTATTGCATTGTATTTCTAAGTTCACTGGGTTTGTTTTCTACCCGATGACGATTGCTTGTGTTGCAATCGAAACGTCGTATTCTATTATTTGTTTTCCTTCTACGCGACTTACCGAAAGAACCAAAGAGTAATTCCTGCAGTCATGAAAGCTTCAAATCCATATTCTTTAAGCAATGCATATCTTAAACTTAAAAACTTTAAATTTCATTTTACAAAAATTCTAAGGAAACAATTCAAAGCTGGGATGTTTTTAAATGGCATGTTGCTCACCTTGATGAGTGCCTTTTTTGTGAGTTTCTGGTTGACCTCGGGCTTGTTCATGATGTTTTTGGCACGCGCTGCATACTCTAGAGTGCTCAGAGTCTCCTACAGACAAAACGAGTTGCAAACGATATTCGATACAAATTATTATGGTCAAATAAACAAATGGCAAAGGACTAGAGTACTTGAAGGCCCCAAGCAAAAAGAACATGTTCAAGTTCAAGTTCATTTATTAGGTATAGCCCTGTGAGCCATTCAGCTCTTGAATCGGGTGCAACCGCAACAAACAAAAAACAAAAACATGAACAAAAAACATCTTAAAGTGAATATGTGACTAAGTGCAAACAGAAAATCCAAGAAAAGACAGCAAAAATATTGCAGAAAAAACACCGTACACCAACGCTGTGTGCAAAAATCTCAGTGGGATGCAAGTCAAACAACAACAACAACCACAAGACAGCTTAGATTAAGGCCATCAGTCTAACTCTGTACTACAACAAACAAACATGGCTAAACCAATACACTTTTCGAAATCAAAATAAAGCCATGAAAGCAATGAAAAAGCAATCATAGGAACTGTGATGGAATTTTCACAATAAATGACATAAACAACATGTATTACCAAAACCCTGCAGCCATAGCTGGCTGCATGAGTCACTCCACAACAGCAGGAGCATCAATCGGAGTATTGTAATTTTTCAATGCACCTTTAAGATCAGCACACTAAATCAAAACACAGGTCATACTTTGTAGCGATCATTCGGAGCGAAACATTTTATTTTAGGTCACTGAATAGCACTGGCAGCTAGGGGTGTACAACTCCTCTAGAGCAGTTTTGAGTGAAGATCTCATAGGTAGTGACTCAAGTTTCAATTTATTGGCAACAGCATTCCAGACCCTGGGGGCATCAATAGCAAAGGCCCTTCCTCCAGTATATGTACGGCAATAGGGAATATTAAGCTGGTAAATGAGTGTAGACCTTAGGTAAAATTTGTTCTTTGAAACAGAGACGAGATCTAGCAGGTAATCTGCATTTTTTTTTGCAAGTACATCATGAATAAATAAGATCTGGTGCACAAGCCGTCGAACATTCAGAGATGTTAAGTTTGACCCAATGTAGAGATCACAGTGGTGAGTCCTATATGGGCAGTTCAATGCAAATCTTAAGGCCGAGTGATATATTGAGTCAAGCTTCTTCAGTACAGTACTTGGGGCTGATTTATACACAATGTCACAGTAATCAAGTAGAGGCAGTATGGTAGCTTTAATCAATTCCAAACGGAACATAGGGGGGAAGCAGTGCTTGTGTCGATATAGAAAACCAATTTTAATTTTTGTTTTTTCCTAATATAATCAATGTGATCTTCAAAATTCAGTTTTGAATCCAGGATGACCCCAAGATACTTATAGATCTTGACTTGCTCTATTTGATCATTATTTAAGGAATGTAATTGGGGGAAAATAACTTCCCGCTTTAGTTCTGGTGAGAAGCATAGCACCTTGGTTTTGGCAGGATTTAGGACTATATTTTATTCCGTCAAGACTTTTTGTGACCAAATAAAAAAAAACAATGCAAGGAGGCATCTTGAATCCAACCTCAATGTTGACTGCAGCTGGAGAAATGGTGGCGATGATGGAGGTTTTGGTTCGACCACCCAGGGAGTCCTGCAGGAGCCGGGTCAGCTTTGACTCCCTGACACAGCCACATGGAGTTCAGTCGGCAACGATAACATTCAGGCGGCAACATTTCCCATTACAACCATGCACAATCTCAAACTAATACATCAATATGCGGCACGACCGTGCTGGACATGTTCACGTAGCCTCAGATCAAAACTCCCTTGTCCTCCTTAACCCAGACACATTGCAGACGCTTATGACCGCCATACTCAATATGATGGCATCTTAAGCGCCCTTCTTTGGGTCCCTTAATGGCACCATTCGATTCCTTGATCTCTTTTCTACTATTCACCTTCCAAGAGGACAACTGTGGACATAAACCTTCTAATATTGATCAAATAAGTACCACTTCACAACAAGTTAACAGTGAGTGTTATTTGGAGAGACTGGCCAATGGCAAATATTACATTTTCCATATTGACTCAGGGCCATCAAGAGTGGTGATGACTTAAAGTCTCCTTTAGGCATGGATCCACTTTGAACTATCCATCTGACCTCTGCATTATGAGTCCCTTAGCACTTCATCTTGAGTACATTTTCTAGTTTTGGTCAAGAGCGACACGGACACCCGCTCGCAACAAATAGGATCGCTACCATGGCTGTTGCCCAGCAGAAAGCAGTTTTTTTACAATTCCCTGCAATCTGCAGCTGTTAAAGGACTCAACAAATATCAAAGAACAATATTTCTTCAAGCACAAATCTTTAATCACGAAGATTGAATCAACTGCAAAGATGTATATATCGTTACACCCTTAGTGTTGAGATCCTGAGTTTAAATCTCAACCCATTTGAGATTAAACCGAAGTGTCTCCAGCTGTGTTACTGAGGCATAAACCTGTAAGGAATGTGTGGAGTCCTCTCCACGAGCGCGGTGATCACTCTTCCGAGGGTGAGCAGAGACTGGTTGATGTTCCCGGCCTCGCGAGCACGCTTGTCCACTGCTCCTGAGCGCCCAATGTTCTCGCTGCCGGCAAGGTCCACCTGCCAAAATACAAAAATAAAAATTAAACTTCGTGTTGGTTTTCTAAAAATGGAAGCAATTTTAAATCAAATAAAATCTTGCCACAGGTTTTCACAGCCAATTAAGATTCACAATATTTTTTTCGGTTAAGCCATGCAATCGCCTCCGACTTCCTCAAATTCCCATTTACTTCCCGTATCTTGTCGTGACGTTTGATGTAGTTTCAACCAAAACGTCAAATCGATTCTAAATCTACTTTTGAGAATTGTTCTTCAATTCACCAGTAAGCTGAAGTAATAATGGGTGATTTGTTAAATGCGTGTACTCATGACATTTTAATTGGCTTTATCTAGTATTAACTAAAACAGATTTACACTATGAGACCTCCTTTACCAGTGGCAAAATATAGTGATAGGTTTTTACCCTTTCAACTGGTACAAAAACTGACACCTTTATACAAGGCATCATGTTTGCAATAACCACAACACAAGCAGTCAAAATGCAAACAAAAAGTGCGCTGTTTTTGAGTTGTACGCCTTTTGGCGTCATCTGGTCCAACACCAATGGAGACTAGGCTCTAAGAAAAGCTGTCTCGGGTGTGGACCAATCAACTTCAAGGACAGTGCATATCATTATCATTATCAGAGTTGTTTCTTTTTGTTTGCATTTTGACTGCTTGTGTTGCGGTTAGTGCAAACATGATGCCTTGTATAAAAGGTGTCAGTTTTTGTAATAGTTGAAAGGGTAAAAACCTATCACTAAAACAGATTTATCATTTGCTCTAGCAAGGGACTGAAGCACGGCAGTTCGACCCACCATATTTAGCTTGCCTATCTTCACGAGCTCTTCCCCATCCATCATGGTCTCCTTCATGTGTATGGTGATGGAAAACACCGAGTGGGATCGGCTACAAACAACAAAAGCACATACGGACACCACAAGTTATTAGATGACCATTACGAGCAATGCATTGTAGTGTAATAACAGCCATAGAGGGTTCACGTGGGGATTGGCTTGCCGGTCCTGCTTTGTAGCCAATAAGGGTTGAGATAGGGAGCGTGGGCCCGGCGTGATCACGGCATGTCATCAGGAGTGATTGGCCTAGCCATTCGGGGCCCCAGCTAATGGGGATCCGGATGAGAGGCGTGGTCCCGGGAGTGACAGGGAACCATCGAGAATGGTCGAGGCTGTCCATGGAGGATTGGCTGGGGGGACCACGTGACAAAGGGATTAAGAGAGAGTGAGAGAGAACGATCGAGAGCAGACTGGGAAACGAACAGAGCGAGAGCCACGCGCGTACGGGGGCTCTGGGTGCCACGTGCATGGTGGGAACTGGTGTGAAGTCTGCCCGCTCTCTGTTGTCTGCCAACAACGGAGCGTGAGTGAATAAAGTGTATCGTGGAGGTGAAAATAAAGAGGACCGATTCCGAAGCCGTCTCCGAAGGATTATTACAGTAGTAAAGCACAGCTTAATTCATCATCTTCTGTCACCCATGGATGACAGGAGACCAATGATTATTTGAACCATTGGCAGATTCCTTAAAATATATGTAATAAAGGATTAATCTAAACGATTTCTTGTGACCTCAACATTAAGGGCTCCCTACATAGAAATTCATGACAATACAAGTCCAAACCTGGGATACTACCATTGGATAAGCTAAGTTCTAAATTGTAACCCCAGCCTTGCCAACAATAAATTAAAATAAATGAATGAATACCAAATAACAGACACAACGTGCTCGTGTTGAGATTCGCGTGAAAGGGTGGCAGTTGCTGGTGCCGCACCTGGAGTAGGCATTCATCAGAGTGGAGGCGGTTCGTCGCTTGGCGGCACCATGCTCCAGGATGTGGTAGACCTCATCCTTGTTGTGGACCGTCACCTCCTCCAAGCCCTTGATCAACACCGCTCCCTTCATGGACACAAATTTAGTTCAACCAAGATGATGTTTCATCTCCATTCGATGTGAATGCAAGATGCTCAGAGATGCCAAATTATCTACAAATTCACTTTGCTGTGACTCCATCCATCCCACAATATCTATCCGAATAGTGTAAGTTTGAGATCAGCATTAAGCTGAAAAAAATTATTCATACAATTCTTACAGATTTATATCTTACCAAATGGGAAACATAAAAATATAACAAGACAACTGTTTTTTGGGTTGCATCTTCCTTTAAATTAAGACAAACTAAAATATAAAATATTTATATTTGCACCTCCAATTAGCACGTTGGCTACGTACAGTGCGACAGAAGTTCAACATACATACACTGTTTGCACTTGGCTTAAAACATTTTTTACCAGCTTTATGGGTGTGCGTAACTTCCTCAGCAAATCAACAGTTTAAGGAAATTATTACTAAGATAAAACTCAAGCAAATTAGTTGCTTGAAGCATATATATGGGTTCTTTAATTCAATAGGCATGCTATACAAGTGTACCTTATTGCGAGGGTCGTCAAACATTTGAAGCCTCTCTCCGATGTCTGGGCTGGAGCTAAGCAAGTCAAAAAGCTCTTCGTTGTAGATTTCCAGCAGAGAGACCTTTACCGAAAACTCAACCCCAAGGCTGGTGAGTTTTTCAAAGATTTGGTGCAGGGTCCTTGGGATGACCCCAGCCAGAGGATCCTAAACATCAAAACACATTTAATTAAATTTATATACAAATGCAATAGGTATGAAGGTTGGCAAACATTTGTATTACCATCTTTTTATTACCATGTAATGACTTACAAGTACAATTAAAGCTGACAAATTAGTATATTAGCTGCATATACGACTCGCTTAAGCATAAGCAGAACTACAGTGACTGGCACGGAATAATATTTTCATGCAGATGTAGTGATAAGGAATAGGTAACTACGGCATGTAGCGCTGGCTGCTGGCAAAAAGCTTGGCTGCCATGGCAACCCTGTCCGCCAGAGGTGAGGGGGTAGGCGGGAGGAAGGGATGTGGGGAGAAGGGGACATAGGGGGTACACGGGAGAAGCCCGGGAACCTTCTAGGGGGTTCTAGAAGGGGGGCGTAGCCAAGGGGATGCAAGGCTGCGCTGGGAGGATATAAGGGGGACCTGGGGAGGATTCGGGGCCGTTTGTTGGAGTGGACCCCTGGAGCCCGTCAAGTCCCGTCAAGTCTTCGTCATCAACAACATCGTCTTACCCTAGTCTCAGCGTTGTGGGTCATGCAGCCGTTGCTGTCCTTACTATAAGTATTCTCAGTAGGCCTCAGCAAGGCAAGGTAAAAGATAAAAACGAGCCGACCTTTACCCTACCTTTTACCTTACCACAATACAATCACTCTACCCTACCTTTTACCCTTTAGCAGGTAAGGTAAAAAGCAACGAGCCTACCTTTACCCTACCTCTTACCCTTACCCCATACCAATTACCCGATTACGGGGTAATTACTGGGGTACTACACATGAAAAAGGTTTATAACGGTAAATGCTCGGTAGAGCGCTTCATTTATATAGAATACTCTCAACGATTCCAATTTTACACGCTTGTTGTTGTCGTTGTTGTATCCTCAAATCTTGTAACTCAATTTTAACCCACTTCCCAATGTGGTATCGACTGAAAACTTGGTATACTTATGTCATACTGATGCCAATGCTATATTCTATCATAAAAAATATATATATTTTTTTTACTTTCTTTTTTATATGTTATGTTTTGGCTTGGGTCTAATTGTCCACGGTCAACTGACGTTGGCTGTAATTGGCCACGGTCCCTTACGTTATGGCACACTTCGGGGCCACTTCCTAGAGTCGTGGAGTCCTGCCATTACTAGTACATTTCATAAAAGCGTGTTTAAAAAAAAGTTGTTTTTAATATTACTTATTAAATGGAAGCCACGGACTGCGCCACGGAGCTTTTAGCGGTAAACAAGGTACCGTATTTACCGGGTAATACTTCGCGCTACCTTTACCCTACCGGGTAATTCTTCCGAGCTACCTTACCCTACCCTTTACCTTACCCCTTGGCATGTCGACACCTTTACCCTTTTAACTGGTAAAAAGGGTAAATTACCTTACCAAGGCCTAATTATCAGCGCCGGTGAAGGCTATCAATAAACAGTGCCTCCTAATATAGTGTCTCTCCAGTCTGTCACTACACAGGTGTAATAAGTGATTTTTTTTCCAATTAAGAATCTTAATAAACAATTTAACTATTCTACTCACATACCAGATTCTCTCTGGGATTGGCCAAGAACCTTAGATCTTCTTGGTTCTTTCGGTAAAGTCACGTAGAAGGGAAATAATAAATAATAAAACATAATAAGATACAATTCTCACGACGTTTCGGCCACAATGCAAGCAGCTGTCCTCAGGTGAAGAACAGGGCTGTCGGAAAGACAGCGTCCGAATGACAGCCCTGTTCATCACCTGAGGACGGCTGCTTGCGTTGTGGCCGAAACGTCGTGAGAATTGTATCTTATGTTTTATTATTATTTTATTATTTCCCTTCTATGTAACTTTACCGAAAAAACCAAGACGATGAATCCCTGCAGTCACGAAAGCTTCAAATCGAAACCTTAGATCTATTCCTGACATTTGACAACTCCATCCAGGTAATGTTGCTGCATCAATTGGCACAAAGGACCACTGTCTAATGCCTGTAAATCACCTATATACCCTTAAACAAACTTGACATGGATACATGTGTAGTGACATAGAATCGGTCACTTAGCAGCATAGCGCTTGTTGCTGGCAGAGAAGGGGATCTGCCGTTGCAGCAGCCCCGACTGACAGCAAGCCACGTGATAGACCAGAGAGAGGGATGTAGGGGAAAGGTTACAAAAGAGGCACGTGAGGGAAGCCCAGGAACCCCGAGTAAGTTCTAGAGGGGGGGGCGTGGCTGGGGCGGAGCGAGGCCACGCTGGGAGGATAAAAGGGACCCCCGAGTGGGAGCTCGTGGCTGTCGCTTGAGTGGGATCCCGTCGTGCTGCTGGAGTCTTCACCGCCGTCTATGTCTTCACCTTCTCGGCGTCGTCAGTCAGGCATATTTCCACCTGTTCTGACTGGGAGCTGTAGTTACTTTGTGAAATGTTAAGGCTGTTAATAAATAGAGTGCCTCCTACTCTTAGTGTCTGTGAGTCAGTCACTTCACATGCATTCTTTGGCATTACCACAATACTGATTGACATGGTCTCCGACTTATTCCCCGAGCCCACAAGCTTTTAAACAAATGATGCATCGGTATGCATCTTGGTTGTTACCCATAACCTAGTGGGCGCTGTCAACTTTAATTCCTAATTTCAGAAGTTTTGGTAAAATGTATGATCCACACTGGTTGATCCCTCATTGCCAAATGGTAGCTTCATCTAAAGACAGCTTATAAGAGATAGTGCTACTGACACTCTCTCTCAGCTCTTTCCAGATAAAAAGCCACAAGGAACATGTAAATGCATCAACCCACAAATGCAACAAACTGGCACCCGGTCTAGTTCTCTCATCCCTTCATTTCCACCAATAATGAATCCGAATTTGCAATTCTTAATTTAAAATACAAAGCCAATTTTTTTGGTTCCTGCTTTGCAGAAAATGATTCTTAATGTCCCAAGTAATATCCCGCCTAAAGTTATTACTCGTTGTCAAAGCACATAGCAGTTGACAAAACATCCCAATATAGGACCGCATAGCTTGGGCAATTGTTGGCACCAGTTAGCCTTCTGCCCATCTGGTTTTATTTGCAAACCCACGTTATTAAGCCAGCAGTTTTCAGATGCAAAATGCATGAAGCAAAATATATTTTTTAATGTTAAACATATTCTTAGATTACCTCTTCCCAAGTGAATTCACCATTTGGTGACCTTTCCCCTTCCATCGTGAAGGTTTTCCCTGTACCAGTCTGTCCATAACTTTAAAACACAGAAAACAAAACTGAAGCATTTATGAAGCAAACATTAATACAAAACACAGCAGCCGTGATTTACAGCAAGTTGTCAAAACAAAGAATGCACTGCACTTGCTTTGTTCCGTAAGCTCTAATATCTCAAATACACATTGTGGAACGTACTTGCTAGAGAGTAGGCAGAAGTGATATGTAGTGCCATCCCAGACAAACAGGGGGTGTTCAAGTGTTGAAATGTACCCCTACGATAGGAACCGTAGAAATCTAAAAACTACTTATATAGCATCCTTGTCACTCTGAAAGTGTCGTCTCTAAACGGTGGACTTCACATTGAAAATTAAAACCCACTGGCTTTTATTCACTTGGCAAGTGTCCTTATTTTAAAGAATGGCCAAAGAAGAAACCACCAAACATGCATGAAGCCTATAAAACTCATAATTATTAAAAACACTGATCACAAAGACCAGTGCCTAAAAGGTCGTTTATTGTCCACTTTCAGAATGAAAATATAAAAAATCGTGTACAGCATGCATGGAATCTGTGACACTTTTCATAATGTATTTAGTTATGGCACATGACGTTACAAGATGAGATCATGGAGAAGTGATGTATGTGGGTGGCGTGCAACGCATTGGCCAGAACGGCTTATTAATTGAGCGTTCAATTTTTGACAGGTTTCAGGCAACCCTGATGTGGCCGAATTTATATAGGTTCAACTCCTAACAGCAACACAGATTGATAATTAAATTTCATTTTATGGATTATATTGCATGCCACGCTCGACCCACGGTGTTCTGAATGGGTAGATCGCAGATGGGAAATCTGACTTCAGGTTTGATTTCTCACAAACCAGAGACCGCAATTAACATCAGGATTCACATCTCTACAGGCTCTCGTATTGCCAGTGTGTGAAGAAGAGGACTGTATAGACTAAACTCAGAACACTTTCCATAAAAACATTTTTCCACAACTTCTAGGTGAGCAATAATTTATGCAATGTATTTTATTATCTAGCAAGGATGGAATTCACATTATGTGTACTTACGCAAATACTGTGCAGTTGTAACCTAAGATAACTTCATCCAAAATTGGATAAACCACACTCTTGTAAATTTCTATTTGTTTTGCAGCAGGACCAAAGACCTGTAAATAAACATGGTATTGTAACGTAGACAAATCATTTTTAAAACCTCATTTAAAATGTTTGTATATCAGCTCCAGAAGAAAACCAACATCATGTAATTAACGATTCACTTAAAAAGGCCCCTTAATTTAAAAAAATGCTCAGTTTCACTTTATTCATATGACATTCGTCCAACTTGCTCAGCTATAAATAAAACGAGGTGCAACTCAGGTGTTGAATTTGTCCTGCACGTTGTGTATTCAAAAAACATCCCCACAAATTACATCTATTAGAGTCGACGAAAGTGCTAGTGTGGAGATGATGATACTGTACTGATGGGACATTAATCCTGGGCGAGAACCATACCATGTCATACGTATAGGTCTTCTTTGAAGACTTTTCTCCAAGTGGGACATTCAACTTTACAGACAATTCTTTCCTGGCTTGATCGCATTCCACAACAGAATACGAATTCGCTTTCCTCTCAATTCCATTCAGTGGCCTAAAGAAACAAATGAAGTTACAAAGTGAGACAATTACAGTCATGATCCTGTATCCCCAAAAACCAGTGCCTGGCAACCAGTGTGCCGCAGCAAAGTCCCAGGCGTGCCACGGCGTCCCGCAAGCCACGAACCGCACATCCCCGCTCCATTGATCACAGGGCAGGACGGCAGCAGACGGGCCCGTCAGCCCCCACCCCCAGCCCTTTCAACCCCCCAGATCGCGCATGCGCTGTTGGGCGAATAGACAAGGATACACAGGAACGCAGACACATACAAAGACACAGAGACACGGTGGCAAAGAGATACACAAAGACATGCGGACACTCACGCAGTTCAGCAAATGAACCTTATGGCAGGACCCCGGGGTCCCATAAGCCCCCGCCTCTCGCATAAACATTATATTATAATGTAAACACAAACTTTGCTCTTTTTCACCAATGGGTTTGGAGGATGGTGGCAAGTGTTGTCTAGTTAAACTAAGCCTATAAAACTGAAAACTACTTACCTGCAGTACCTCTATTTAAATACACTATCGGAAAAATTATTTACACCCCTGTCAATCATCGTGTTTCTCAGTGTGGATTTGTAAACGGTACATGAAATAGTACACGTTTTCAATGCACTGTTCATATTGTAACAAGCATTTATACCAATGTTACTCTACAGAGTAGTGGGTCGCCGCTCCTCTTATCCGCATTGATACGAGCGGTATGTGGGGACTATGGCTTAACCGCAAAAAAACACCTATCTGCACAGATGCATAAGGACAAGCGATGTATTATCAAACAGGAGGAATTAACAGTGGAACGCATCTCATCTGTTAAATATCTGCAGGTAATAGGATTGTCATCGAATGATCTTGGCTGCAGACATTGGTAGGTCCATATTTACAACTGACAAATCTAGGCTCTGTAAAGTCCTCATTAACAAGATCACACATATGCCACATGCCGATAACGGAACCAATACACATTCTTTAAATGGTCAATGTTTAGGAGTGAAAATCAGTGTTGATGGACACTATAGGCAAAAGCTTGTGTTGCTAAAAACGTACAGAAAACCATGATTAATTACACACGCCCTGTTTATTCTGATATGTACGCATCCTATTGTTATACAGTAGTTAAATTTCAGTGCTGTATACAACATAGCAAGGAAATCGCTTTTATTATTTGACGCAACTGTAATAGCTTGCACACGTGTTTCGTTTTAAATGATGATCAGTCATAGGAACGTGCAAATTAGAAATCCAATGCGACACTTGCGGCTCTGAACTTACCTGCATCGCACAAACACCTGAATGTGTTTCCCTTTGTCATCTTTGTCAGGTTTTTTTCCGCTGACATAAGACATCTTTGCAAATGTAAGCCTGCAAAAAATATGTTAGAATATAAATTAAAACCATGCTATCAAGAGGCATTGATAACAAATAGGATATTCACTTATAATTCGACGCTTTTCAACTAAAACATTGACTGTTGGCAGTGGTGTTCAAGCACGCAGAAAAAACACCACTATTTACATTTAAGAATAACGTGCAGTTTGAAGACAGCCATAAACTCCCTCCCATTACAGTGTAACAATTTTTTTTGTTTAGTTCCTGGGTGTTATTTCCTAATTGCTTATGCCTGAAAAGTACAGAAAATGGCTATTATTCGCCACAAACGTTGCTTTGTGACCAGGACAATATTTTGAAATTGACCTATTTTCAATGAGAAAACGGGTGAATTTGTCTTTTCCTTCACATAGTCAGAAAAAACCATATGAACCAAAATGAACATGTATTTATACTAAAGTACTACACAAAAATTACTACAAAGATTTAGACACCAAGGCGCACTACCACAGCGGACCGAGTTCTCTATGGGGAGGAACATCGTCAAGTGGGAGCTACTGGTGGACCCCCGGAAGGTGCTGATGCCACCACTGCACATCAAATTGGGCCTCATGAAACAATTTGTCAGCTGTAGATAAGGAGTCGGCAGCCTTCAAGTACCTTCAAGACTTCTTCCCGAAGCTGTCTGAGGCAAAAGGTCAAAGACTGTGTCTTCGCCAGACCACAGATAAAGAAGATCCTGGAGTGCAACGAATTCTCCAAGAAGCTCACTAGTAAGGAGAACGCGGCTTGGAACAGCTTTGTCGCAGTGGGTCGTGGCTTCCTGGGCAATCACAAGGCCGAAAACTATGTGGAGCTGGTTGGTAAAAAACTATGTCACAATGGGCTGTAGGATGTCCCTAAAAGTCCATATCCTTGATGCTCATCTTGATAAATTCAAGGAGACCATGGGAGCGTACTCGGAGGAGCAAGGCGAGCGCTTCCTCCAGGGTATGCTGGACTTTGAACGCCGCTACCAAGGACAGTATCACGAGAACATGGGGGCCGATTCGTTAAAGTGATTTACCGTATAATCATAAATCTCGAACTACTCGCTTCTAAATCTTTTGGAGTCATTATTTTGTATTACTTTAGTATAAATACATGTTAATTTTGATTCACGTTGTTTTTTTTTTACTTTATGTGATGGAAAAGACACAAATTCGCCCGTTCTCATTGAAATAGGTCAATTTCTAAATATCACTGTCCTGGTCACAAAAGGAAAGTTTGTGGGGAATAACAGTCATTTTCTATACTTTTTAGGCATCAGCAACTACGAAACAACACTTACTACCCAGGAACAAAAATGATGTTACGTAGTGTTATCAGACATTGTGTCTCCACTGCTGGATGAAGGACTCCTCCGCATACTGTCGATACCCCCGCGGTCTTGCGATGCAACATTCTCTCGCTCCTCCGAGTTGAGATCTCACCGATCTTCTTGGGCCTATCCTCTCACTTGGCTTCCACCATCCCTTCTAGTGCTGCACACACTGGACACGTCCTGCCTGAGCCCCGCTGCCTTTTGTTTTGTGATACCGAGGTGGGGAGGGGGGTCCCTCTCCCTGCGGCTTCGCAGCGAAACTCCACGCACCTCTCCGTGCTGCTCGCGATGTGGCATCGCAGGGCAAAGACCCACGCGGAGCCTACACAGACCGCCGAGACGAATGCTGTTAGCGAGCACCTATTGCGCCTACAATGCGCCACGGCTCCCCACGTACACACTCGGCACAGGGGACGCACCACGGCGACTCTCTGGGTGGCGGCGGCGGCACCGCGGCTCAGAAGCGGCGGGTCGCAGCGATGGGAGATGCGCGTGGAGAGACAAAGCGGAGGTCGTGCTCCCCGAGTGCCCTCACCGCTCAACCGCTGCTCAGTCTGTGCCCCGCGTACGTCCGCTCCGACAGAAATCGTCCTCCTGTAGCAAAAGTGGCAATGACAGCGACGGGCGGCGAAACAGCGCGAGTCGGAACCGCGCCCCCTCCACTCCGGCAGCCGTTGACGCGGCAACAATTTGAACAGTCACGTGCACAGGTTTAGCCAATGCCGTCGCAGCGGATGGCGGAAGGTCGCGCGTGATTGGTGAATGGGTGACGTCACGCAGATTTAAAGGCGCGAGATTTTTTTTCTCGCGCAGGATCCAGCGGGGAGGGGCCGGGGAGGAGGGGCGGAGATGGTAGCGGGGAGGACCCAGGGCTAGGGGCGGGGGGGGGATAGGGGAGGGAAAGGGGGGGCGAGGGGCGGGGAGGGGGGGCGAGGGGCGGGGAGGGGGGGCGAGGGGCGGGGAGGGAGAGCGAGGGGCGGGGGCGAGGGGAGGAGGGCAGCGGCGGGGGCGAGGGGAGGGGGGCGGGGGCGAGGGGAGGGGGGCGGGGGCGAGGGGCGGGTGCGAGGGGAGGGGGGCGGGAGCGAGGGGAGGGGGGCGGGAGCGAGGGGAGGGGGGCGGGGGCGAGGGGAGGGGGGAGGGTGCGAGGGGAGGGGGGCGATGGGCGGGGAGGGGGACGATGGGCGGGGAGGGGGGCGAGGGGAGGGGGGCGGGGGCGAGGAGGGGGACGAGGGGCGGGGAGGGGGGATCCCCCCTGTAACAACACCGACATTACTAACAACACTCAGATTACTAACAACACTCACTCACATTACTAACAACAACAATCACATTACGAACAACACTCACATTACTAACAACACACTCACATTACTAACAACACTCACATTACTAACAACACTCACATTACTAACAACACTCACTCACATTACTAACAACAACAATCACATTACTAACAACACTCACATTACTAACAACACTCACTCACATTACTAACAACACTCACATTACTAACAACACTCACTCACATTACTAACAACAACAATCACATTACTAACAACACTCACATTACTAACAACACTCACATTACTAACAACACTCACTCAGTTTAACACGTAGGCTTTCGCGACCAATGTTATTCATAATCAACGTTTTTGGGTTTAGATCGCGTTATTTATAAATGTGTCGTAACCCTCCACCACCCGACACGGCCAATCAGTAAAAAAGTGTCACGTTGACAAAGACAAATAGTTCACTGCTTTAGCCCACCGGTGTGTTGAAGCCACAACATTTACAATTTGAGTACGACGTTTCGCTGGTAATTGCATCCAGCATCATCGGGCAATTCGCCAGAGTGGAACTATTTGTCTTTTGTCAACGTGACACTTTTTTACTGATTGGCCGTGTCGGGTGGTGGAGGGTTACGACACATTTATAAAACAGGACCCTGCGGGGTGGGCTGGTAGGAATAATACTTAGTACCGGTACAGGGATATCGACCGGGTATAGAGGAGTTAAAGACAAAATTACTGTATTCTAGTGTAACGTTAATTAAAAGTGTTTGTTTTGACAAGAAACGCTGTGAGATTTAAAGACCCCTCACCACCAGCCCTCACCACCAGCCCCCACCACCACCCCCCACCACCAGCCCTCACCACCACCAGCCCCCACCACCACCAGCCCTCACCACCACCAGCCCCCACCACCAGCCCCCACCACCACCCCCCACCACCAGCCCTCACCACCACCCCCCACCACCAGCCCCCACCACCACCCCCACCACCAGCCCTCACCACCACCCCCCACCACCAGCCCTCACCACCAGCCCCCACCACCAGCCCCCACACCCCCCACCACCAGCCCTCACCACCAGCCCCCACCACCACCCCCCACCACCAGCCCTCACCACCAGCCCCACCACCAGCCCTCACCACCACCCCCCACCACCAGCCCCCACCACCACCCCCCACCACCAGCCCTCACCACCACCCCCCACCACCAGCCCTCACCACCAGCCCCCACCACCAGCCCCCACCACCCCCCACCACCAGCCCTCACCACCAGCCCCCACCACCACCCCCCACCACCAGCCCTCACCACCACCCCCCACCACCAGCCCTCACCACCAGCCCCCACCACAGCCCCACCCCCCCACACCAGCCCTCACCACCAGCCCCCACCACCACCCCCCACCACCAGCCCTCACCACCAGCCCCCACCACCAGCCCCCACCACCACCCCCCACCACCACCTTCTGCACTAGGCCTCGCGAAGCCTGCCGCACTAGGCCTTGCGAAGCCTGCCGCACTAGGCCTCGCGCCGTGCTTTTCGTGCACAAATAAGGTGATTAAATGTATCTCGTCTCTGTGTTAATAAATGTTTCTGGTCTCTGTGTTAAAAAAACGTGCTGCGTTTCAGTAAAGTATTTTTTTTTTAATAAACGTGCTGCGTTTCATCTCTGTGTCAATAAGCCTGCGGCACTAGGCCTCGCGAAGCCTGCCGCACTAGGCCTCGCGCCGTGCTTTTTGTGCACAAATAAGGCGATTAAATGTATCTCGTCTCTGTGTTAATAAATGTTTCTTGTCTCTGTGTTAAAAAAAAACGTGCTGCGTTTCAGTAAAGTAATTTTTTTAAATAAACGTGCTGCGTTTCAGTAAAGTAATTTTGAAGCGAAGTTTAAAGTTTTGCCGTGATGCACCGGAAGCGACGGCCATCTTGTTTAACTCACATCGCAGGGGGAGCGGGCGGCCATCTTGTCGGACAGGGTCATGCCAAGTGTTTGCAGTAGAGGGCGATGTTGATACACGGACGGACGGACGGACACATTAATCTATTGGTGGTCTGGTCCACTTCGTTCCTACCAGTATAACGCGATCTAAACCCAAAAACGTTGATTATGAATAACACTCACTCACATTACTAACAACAACACTCACATTACTAACAACACTCACATTACTAACAACACTCACTCACATTACTAACAACACTCACATTCACTATGGGGACCTCATTTGCCAGTAAAAATATGATAATTGGTTCTTTACCCTTCTATCTGGCAACAAAACTGACACCTTTTTGCAAGGAGTCATGTTTGCATAGACCGCAATACCTGCAGTCATAAATACAAACAAAAGAACATAACTCTGATAATGTGCACTGTCCTTGAAGTTGATTGGTCCACACCCGAGACAGCTTTCCTTCGAGCCTAGTCTCATATGGGTTGGACCAGATGACGCCAAAAGGCGCACAACTCAAGGACAATGCACCATCAGAGTATGAGAGCTCGGGGCAAGCATCTACACTATGGGGACCTCATTTGCCAGTAAAAATATGATAATTGGTTCTTTACCCTTCTATCTGGCAACAAAACTGACACCTTTTTGCAAGGAGTCATGTTTGCATAGACCGCAATACCTGCAGTCATAAATACAAACAAAAGAACATAACTCTGATAATGTGCACTGTCCTTGAAGTTGATTGGTCCACACCCGAGACAGCTTTCCTTCGAGCCTAGTCTCATATGGGTTGGACCAGATGACGCCAAAAGGCGCACAACTCAAGGACAATGCACCATCAGAGTATGAGAGCTCGGGGCAAGCATCTACACTATGGGGACCTCATTTGCCAGTAAAAATATGATAATTGGTTCTTTACCCTTCTATCTGGCAACAAAACTGACACCTTTTTGCAAGGAGTCATGTTTGCATAGACCGCAATACCTGCAGTCATAAATACAAACAAAAGAACATAACTCTGATAATGTGCACTGTCCTTGAAGTTGATTGGTCCACACCCGAGACAGCTTTCCTTCGAGCCTAGTCTCATATGGGTTGGACCAGATGACGCCAAAAGGCGCACAACTCAAGGACAATGCACCATCAGAGTATGAGAGCTCGGGGCAAGCATCTACACTATGGGGACCTCATTTGCCAGTAAAAATATGATAATTGGTTCTTTACCCTTCTATCTGGCAACAAAACTGACACCTTTTTGCAAGGAGTCATGTTTGCATAGACCGCAATACCTGCAGTCATAAATACAAACAAAAGAACATAACTCTGATAATGTGCACTGTCCTTGAAGTTGATTGGTCCACACCCGAGACAGCTTTCCTTCGAGCCTAGTCTCATATGGGTTGGACCAGATGACGCCAAAAGGCGCACAACTCAAGGACAATGCACCATCAGAGTATGAGAGCTCGGGGCAAGCATCTACACTATGGGGACCTCATTTGCCAGTAAAAATATGATAATTGGTTCTTTACCCTTCTATCTGGCAACAAAACTGACACCTTTTTGCAAGGAGTCATGTTTGCATAGACCGCAATACCTGCAGTCATAAATACAAACAAAAGAACATAACTCTGATAATGTGCACTGTCCTTGAAGTTGATTGGTCCACACCCGAGACAGCTTTCCTTCGAGCCTAGTCTCATATGGGTTGGACCAGATGACGCCAAAAGGCGCACAACTCAAGGACAATGCACCATCAGAGTATGAGAGCTCGGGGCAAGCATCTACACTATGGGGACCTCATTTGCCAGTAAAAATATGATAATTGGTTCTTTACCCTTCTATCTGGCAACAAAACTGACACCTTTTTGCAAGGAGTCATGTTTGCATAGACCGCAATACCTGCAGTCATAAATACAAACAAAAGAACATAACTCTGATAATGTGCACTGTCCTTGAAGTTGATTGGTCCACACCCGAGACAGCTTTCCTTCGAGCCTAGTCTCATATGGGTTGGACCAGATGACGCCAAAAGGCGCACAACTCAAGGACAATGCACCATCAGAGTATGAGAGCTCGGGGCAAGCATCTACACTATGGGGACCTCATTTGCCAGTAAAAATATGATAATTGGTTCTTTACCCTTCTATCTGGCAACAAAACTGACACCTTTTTGCAAGGAGTCATGTTTGCATAGACCGCAATACCTGCAGTCATAAATACAAACAAAAGAACATAACTCTGATAATGTGCACTGTCCTTGAAGTTGATTGGTCCACACCCGAGACAGCTTTCCTTCGAGCCTAGTCTCATATGGGTTGGACCAGATGACGCCAAAAGGCGCACAACTCAAGGACAATGCACCATCAGAGTATGAGAGCTCGGGGCAAGCATCTACACTATGGGGACCTCATTTGCCAGTAAAAATATGATAATTGGTTCTTTACCCTTC